GTCCGTCTGTCTGCCGTCCCGGATTTTTATTAGACAGATAATCTCCGAAAGTACTGGGTCGATTGTTTTCAAATTTTGTATTTACATAGATAATTAATTCTTTATTTGTGTTTTATACTAGCAAAACGTCTTAAACTAAGAATATTGTTGAAATCGTAGTAACCCAATGGATTTTTTTCGGGAAAATGTTTTGGAAACACTGTGTTCTATTTTGTATGAATTTTTAAATGTTTTTAGTGACAATTTTTGTATGATTTTAACAGTGAGAAAAAAAATGAAAAATAATCGAAAGTTCGAAAAATCGAGACATCTAATAATAGAAAATTCGATACCTTAAAAAATCGTAAAACATTGAAAAATCGAAATACCGAAGAATTGAAAATCGAAAAATGAAACATCAGAAAATTATAGACCAAAATAAAAAATTGAAAAACTGATAAATCGAAAACCTGAACAATCAAATCTCGATAAATCAGGAGTGAAAAATTAACAAATCGAAAAATTGAAAAACAGAACATCTAAATCCAGGAAGTCGAAAAATCGAAAGATTAAGAAGTATTGAAAAATTAAAATATCAAAAGATTGAAAAATCTAAAACTTAAAAATCCAAAAATTGAAAAATCGAAAAATCCAGAAGTCAAAAATAGAAAAGCCGAAGAATTGAATTATTGAAAAATCCTAAAACTGAAAAATGGAAAAATCCAAAAATTGTCGAAAAATAGAAACCTTAAAAAATCGAAAAATTGAAAAATCAAAACTTGAAAAATCAAAAAATTAAAGAACTGAAGAAGAGGACAATCGAAACACTCGAAGGTCAAGAAATGGGAAAATCAAAACATCGATTTATTGAAAAATCTTAAAATTGAGAGTTTATGAAAGTCAAAATTGAAAAATTAAAAAATCGAAAATTTGACAGAATGACAATTGAAAAACAGAAAATCTAAAACCGGGAAGTCGCAAAATTCAAAAATTACAGCATCGAAAAATTGAACAATTGAAAAATCGAAAAATCAAAAATCTAAAATTTAAAAAATCCAAAAATTTAAAAATCGAAAAGTTAAAAATACAGAGATCTAAACGCCAAAAAATTTAAAAACCGAACATTTAGAACATCGAAAACTTGAAAAAACGAAAAATCCAAAATTTAAAAAATCGAAAAATTGAAACTTGGCGAAAGTAAAAAATCGAGAAACCGAAAAATTGAAAACTTGGAAAACCTTAATTACTTAAAAATTGAAAAATCGAAAAAAAAACTGAAAAGTCCCAGAACGGACACTTCGAGCAACTGAGAAATCGAAAAATTGTAAAATCTAGAAATAGAAAAGTGCAGAAGTGGAAAAAACTAAAATTTTAAAAATCGAAAAATTGAAAAACAAAAACGTGAAAATTGAATAATTGAAAAATTGAGGAACTAAAAAAATCAAAAATCGTAAAACTGAAATATTAGAAAATTGAAAAACCAAAAAATCAAAAACTGAAAAATCGAAAATTTGAAAAATCGAGAACTTAAATTGACAAATTGAGAAATCGAAAAGTCGAGTAACCAATTAATTGAGAAAATCGAGAACTCGAAAAATCGAAAATTTAAAAAGGCCAAAAATTGAAAAGTCGGAAAATCGAATAATTGAGAAATCGTAGAACTGATGAAATATCGGAGAATTTGGAAACCGAAAAATTAAAAAATTGTAAAAAACATGGATTTTTCAATTAGGCTCCGCCCCTACGCCTGTCAACCAATGAAAACTTCATCACTATGTAGATCAGGGCTGGTATGGGTGGGGCTTAATCTTTAGCTTTAACTTTTTTCTAAATATGCATGGTATTTTTTGAATACCACGAAACTCAAAAACATGTTTTTAATGTCTTCTAGAGAAATAAGGATTTTGCAGTTAAGCTCAGTCCCATTGGCTCACGACGAATAAAAAAAAATCATTGCAATAGAGATAGGGCGGGTGGGCGGGGCTTATATTTTCCCCTTTTCTTAAATATACGTAGCCATCTTTTCACTACAAGAAACTTAAAACATGGGTGAAATGGTACGATTTTGCAAGGAGATATTGATTATTATTATGGGGTTGAGCCTAATTACAAAATTGATATTTCCTTGTACAAATTTTCCTTTTTAAACATGTTTTAAGTTTCTTGTCGTGAAAAGAAGTCTACACATAATAAAACAAAAAGGCAAAATGTAAGCCCGCCCACCCACCCTATCTCGATTGTGATGATTTTTTTTTTATTCGCCGAGAACCAAGAGGGCGAAGCTTAACTGCAAAATACTTATTTCTTTACAAGAAATTAAGAACATGTTTTTGAGTAGTGTCTTCAAACTATACTATGTATAGTAAGAGAAAGGGACAAAATATTAACCCCGCCCACCCACCCCATCTCAATTGTGATGAACTCTTTTATTCTTAGAATCGTAAAACACCTTTAAAATGGCAATTTTTTTAAGGAAATACGGATTTTGCAGTTAAGCTCATGAAAATTCGAAATATTAAGACATTGAAGAATCGAAAAATTGACAATCAAAAACCCAAAAAATTGAAAAATTGACAAATTGAAAAATCGAGAAATTTAAAAATGGGAAAATTGAACAATAATAAAACTGAATATGTAAATTCCAAAACTTAAATATCGAAAAATTGAGAAACCGAAAGTTGAAAAAGCGAACAATCGAACAGTTGAAAATTCTTAAAAATTGAAAAATCCAAGAACTGTGATACAATTTTTATTTTTTATTTTTTTCAAAAATCTCGAAGTGTAAAATAAAATGCGAGAAGTCAAAAAATTTAAAAATAGAGAAACCAAAATAGCGCAAATTTGATAAATCGAAATATCGAAAAATCATAAATCTAAAATTTAAAAAATCCAAAAACTTAAAAATCGAAAAGTAAAAAATACAGAGATCTAAACGCCATAAAATTGAAAACCGAACATTTAAAACATCGAATTTTTGAAAAAACGAAAAATCCAAAATTTAAAAAATCGAAAAATTGAAACTTGGAAAAAGTAAAAAATCGAGAAATCGAAAAATTGAAAACTTGGAGAACCTTAATTACTTAAAAATTGAAAAATCGAAAAAAAAACTGAAAAAACCCAGAACGGACACTTCGAGAAACTGAGATATCGAAAAATTGTAAAATCTAGAAATAGAAAAGTGCAAAAGTGGAAAAAACCAAAATTTTAAAAATCGAAAAATTGAAAAATAAAAACGTGAAAATTGAATAATTGAAAAATTGAGGAATTGAAAACATTAAGCTCCGCCCCATTGGCTCACGACGAATAAAAAAAAATCATCACAATTTAGATAGGGCGGGTGGGCGGGGCTTATATTTTCCCTTTTTGCTAAATATACATAACCATCTTTTCACTACAAGAAACTTAAAACATGGGTGAAATGATACGTTTTTGCAAGGAAATATGAATTTTGCAATTATGAGGTGGAGCCTAATTACAAAATCGATATTTCCTTATATAAATTTTCCTTTTTACACATGTTTTAAATTTCCCATTGTGAAAAGAAGTGTACACAGATTAAAACAAAAAGGCAAAATGTAACATTTGAAAAATTGAAATATGGAAGAGCTGAAATGAAAAATCGAGAAATCGAAAAATCAAAAATTTTAAATATTGAAAAATTAAAATACCAAAAAATTGAGAAATCTAAAATTTAAAAATGGAAAAAGTAAAAAGGCGACACGTCGAAAGTCCCAGTCAAAAATGGAAAAGTCGAAACAGAGATATTGAAAAATCCCAAAACTGAAATATCGAAAAACGGAAAAATGAAAGAAAAACTGAAATATCCAAAAACCGGGAATCCAAAGAATCGAAAAATTGAGAAATCGAAAAATCAAAAAAGTGAAATCGAAATATCGAAACCTTAAACAAATCGAAAAATTGAACAATCCAAAACCTGCAAAATCGTAAGATCGAAAAATTGAATAACAAGTAAACTGAAAAATCCCAAAACTAAAATGTCCAAAAACTGAGAAATTAAAAAATTGAAAAATTGAGAAATCGACGAATCAAAAAAGTGAAGTTGAAAAATCAAAACCTGAAAAAATAGAAAAATTGAAAAACCAAAAAACCTGAAAAACCAATTAATTGAAAAATCGACAAATAAAGAGTATATAAAAGTCAAAAATTGAAAAATCGAAATATTTAAAAATCCTAAAATTGAAGAGAAAAACTGAAAACTAAGAAATTGAAAAACTGAAAAATTGTAAAGTCCAAAAATTGAATAAACAAAAAAAACTGAAAAATCCCCAATCTAAATTTTGAAAAACTGAGAATTCTAAAGTTGAAACAGCAAGAAATTATGTCTGTATTTGTAATTTATTATTCCATTCATATTTTTTGGATTTGCATATACAGATGACTCAAAAATATTAATGAATGCGTCAATTTATTTTATTGATTAAATCAGAAACTACAAAACCGAATGATTTGAAATCTTGGAGATATTTTAAATTTATCATAAGCATGGTAAATTTTTGACCAAAAATCTTAAATGGGTAAAGAATGATCAGTCTATAGTTGTGATTTATCAACTGCATTAATATTTTTTAGACTTGCTTATACGGGATGTCTGAAAAAAATTAATTACTGAGTCAATTAATTTATTGATTAAATCAAGAATTGCAAAATTGAATACTTTGAAATCTTGCAGACGTTTTAAAGTCATTGTAAGCACGGTAAACTGTTAATCCAAATAAATCTGTTTATTTCCCCCAAAAAATTGATGACGTTATGTCAAAATTTTGCGGAATAAATTCTACCAAAAATGTGCAAAATATGAGTTTTACTTGTGATTCATCATAGCATTCATATTTTTATTGATCAAATTAAGAACGAGTCATCCCATTTTCTCGAAAATGTGAAAACGCGAACGTCTTTATTTAATAATAATTACTAATTTCTACGTGACATTCTTCCGATGTATATGCGAAAAAAAAAAAATAATAGGCATGCAGTATTCACGTTTTATTTTTTTGTTTCAGGTAAGGCAGTGCCGTTCGTCGAGCTGACCGTGGCCCACGCCTCGGTGCTCACCATCTTGGCCATCAGTTTCGAGCGCTACTACGCCATTTGTAAGCCCCTGAAGGCGGGCTACATTTGTACGAAAACTAGAGCGTCTCTTATATGCTTGCTAGCCTGGTTCATAGCTGCCTTATTCACTAGGTAAGGAATATGGTGGGAAACGGCACCGGCAAAGCTGTGTGGGCCTTTAGAAAACTATAAAAGAAACCATAAAACCGCGAGTTTTATGATTTCTGCACTTCGCACGACTTTCATTTAAAAATACTCTAAACAAATGGTGGTGGGTTTCCATTTATAAAAGCACTAGATTTTTTATTAAAACCGACCCGAATCAGCACCTCCGACACGTCCTTAACCTGTTTTGTGTGGCCTTGTGTTGTGTTTTAACCCATGTGATGTTGAGCACCTCTGTATAAACCCTTAGATGACTGGTACATCTTAGCTGTATACAGGACGGATCTGGGCACTCGCAACTACTTGACCACAATAGTAGTGGCGAGTTAGTCAAATTCCGACCGGAATAAGTAGTTGCGACGTCCCCGCTGTATACAGCGGGCTTAGAGGTTTGAGATGGTTTTGGTTGCTCCCGACTCTGTCAAATTAGTTACATTGTTTTGAATTTGCAGCCCAATGCTTGTCATAGCCGAATACAAGCACCTAGATTACTTCGACGGTTCCAAGGTACCAGCTTGTCACACGTTGGCCAATACGTTTTGGTCCGCCCTGTACTTCCTCACCATCATCTTCCTCTTCTTCATCATCCCCCTCATCATCCTCCTCGTCCTCTACTGCATAATCGCCAAAAATCTCATGTCGAACGCAGCAACTCTCGTCTTAAACAAACACATCGACAACATTTCCCTCCGCGCGAGGAAGCAAGTAGTGCTGATGCTAGGCACCGTGGTTCTGAGCTTCTTCGTGTGTTTGATCCCGTTCCGCGTCTTCATCTTGTGGATCATCCTGGTCCCGGAAGAGCAAGTCTACCACCTGGAGATCGAGAAGTACTACAACATACTGTACTTTTGCAGAATCATGGTGTACCTAAACTCCGCGATTAACCCGATCCTGTACAACCTGATGAGCTCGAAATTCCGGACGGGCTTCATCATTTGCTCGGAGAGCAACCGGAAGTTCTACTTCAAGCGGGCGCGGAACGGTACCTTCAGTACCACGGCGAACTCGTGCCGGAGCAGCACGCTGAGGAACAACCGCGACGAGTACAACGTGTGCTTCAGGCCGAGGAACAACTCGGTCTTGATCAAGAACTTCAGCGACAGCCCGGAGTCCAACCGGAGCGAGCTGAAGCACCACCCGGTATAAGCGGGCTCGGACGTTTCGCTACAAAAATGTGCATTTATTTCTAGCAAATTTACAGTCTGTTGTAACCGTTAAATTAAGGTGGCGTTAGTTTTCGTCGGCCAAGAGCATTTATCCACATTATGAGTACATTTATCAAACCAAAGAGTACGTGTTTAATAAATAGTATATTTATTAATTCCTGGAAGAATAGACGGCAGAATGGATCCTTTCGTTTGAGAATGCGGGAATAAATTTCAGACAACATTACTCCTGGCATGTAAACAGGAAAACTTGTAAATAACCTATTTTACGATTCAAGGCGAGATGATTCATTATGTCAGCTATCCACATTTTTCTCGAGTCGAATAAAAAAGTTGCTGTACACTAACCCCTAGAAAAAGTAGAACCTTCCAAATATTCCACGTCAAGTACGAACACCTTATTTTTTCCACGAGTAAGTATATTTCAGTTCATTTTAATTTACGTTCTTTCATAATTGAGTAATCAAACATTTTAACACGACTGGTTTTAATCCGACGGCAAAGGTAGCCATAAACTATTCGTCGAGATCGATGGCTATCCATCTTCGCGCTGTGTAAATTATGTCTACTTTTGCTACCGCCGACAGTTGCTTCTATTAACTGATTTACAAAACTGACAGCTCGAAGCAACTGGTCGCAGTGGCGACGCTACGAGGGGAACCGATCCGAATTTGTTATTTATTTTTTTCTAAAATTGACTACATTAAAAAATCTCCTCATGGTAGCGCCGCCACTGGCGTCGTTCAGAGGCGGTTCACATTTTTCCTTTGAATCGTTCCGCCAAGCGAAAAATAGTGAACAGACCTCGAACCGTTTAAGCGTTGAAACTTTTATCGCCACTAATTCTATTCCGGCTTTTGCAGCCCCATCCTGGCCATAACCCAGTACGGCCCCGAGGAGTACGTCGACGGCTCCATCGTCTTCGTGTGCTTCAGCCTCGTCGAAGACACCCTCCCTTGTGTCTTCTTCCTCAGTTCCATCCTCGTCTTCTTCATTTTCCCCCTCGCCATCCTCATAATCGTGTACATCCTCATCGCCAAGACCCTCATGCGCCACCCCGTGGCCATGACGGGCACCAAGAGCGTGTTGCCCTCGCAGAGCGCCATAAAGTACCGCAAACAAGTCATCCTCATGCTGGGCGCCGTCGTCTTGGCGTTCTTCCTCTGTCTCTTACCTTTCCGCGCCCTCACGTTCTGGATAATCGTGGCCCCGCCGGGCTCCAACTTCGAGATCGGGTTCGAGAACTACTACAACATTCTGTACTTTGCCAGGATCATGTTCCATATAAACTCGGCGGTGAATCCCATCCTGTACAATATAATTAGCTCGAAATTTCGGGGCGGGTTCCTGCGGCTGTGCGGCGTCAAGGTGGTGAAGCGGCGGCGGAAAGACAAGAGGGAGATCACCAGGAAAAGCACGAATTCTTCGACGCATACTTCTTCCCAGCAGACTTCCGACTCATTTCTTCATAGTAGCAAAAGACACTCGGAGAAAAAATGTTCCAGTCTCAGGGAGATTAAAGAGGCGGGGGACGGGCCCGAGGGGGCGGCGAATGTTTCCAGGGAGGATAAGGGGAGGGAGGTCTACGTGAGGGCGCCGCTGGGGCACAAGTTCTCGAATGGGGAAATTTACGTTTAAGGGATTTAAGCACGTACAATACGACGCAAAAGACTCCAGAAATCATATATTTTGGTACAATCACTTATTCGAACAAAAGAACTGATACGGTTAAAGGTAGCTACGTAATTTAGGACAGGGTACTCGAGGGCGGTTTAGCTAGAGGGGCGGTTCTTTACTGAGTACCCACCGACGACAATATGTGTTCTTTTTGTGAGTGATTTATCTTTTGTACATCATAAACCAAAGACGTTGCTGTTGATTCGTTTCGTATCTATAATTGTCTGAAAAAAAATCGGCTGTGACGGTACTAGTAAGTTTATCATTTTTAAGCTTGACTTAGTTCCAAGAATCGTAGAAAATTTTACAAAAAATCTGGGGGTGGTCTTATAAAAATCCGAAAAAATCTAGTATCGTCACAGTTTGGTCACCCTGTATATTGTATGGAATTAAGTGTGACTTGAGGGTGTTTTAACCAAAGCCTACCATAGCAGCTGAAGAAAGAAACTGCGAAGAAGATACTCCAATAATTTACGTTTTATTACGGGCATTTCTGTATTTATTAATAAAAAATAAATGTGTTTGAAGTTGACTTTGAGATTATTTTTCGTCCTATTTATCCGCATTATTCCGAAACTAAGTAAATAAAAAATTGGGCTAAAGTTATTTCGATTGAACTTCACTCACAATCGTAAAAAAAAACACATCTGTTTTGGAATACGTTGCACGGCCAACTGTATTAATACATATGGCCATCCCAATTCGTATAAAAAGTTGATTTTTTGACGTTTCCAAAATCGTTAATCAGGCAACGACATCTGTTGAGTACAATTATGAACTTGGTTGGCAAATAATTGTCAAAATGACGTTTTAAAATATCACGTTTTTCTGAAAGTGTAGATAATGGCACAAGAACATTAATGATATTACTCATATTATTTAGTTTTGAAATAAGATAGATATATTTTTACAAAACGAAAATTATTTAACAAAAAGGAAGGTACATATTCATAATTTTAAAACTTTTCTGCTGCTAGGTTTGGTACAGATCGTTATTTTCTTCAACCAGTCTGTTTGTTCCAAACAAATATTATCAATAACTGGTTTCACTGTTGCTCGAATAATTATATCACAAACTCTTGATTTATGTTCCAAGCAACAAAATAATGGATTTTGGTCCAAAGAAGGATGGAGCAGATTACATATTTGTTGACATGTCTTTTTGGAGTTTAAAAACGCCAACATTTTTTGAGTGACATCACTTAACAATTCCGCAGCGGCATCCGTTGCATCATTGGAGCCTCCTTTTAATCTCACGTGTGAGAACGTTGCTTCCACCGCATCGGCGCTAAAGGAACGCGTAAGAACATAGTAAAAGCCTGCTTGTTCTAATAAAAACTTAACACACAAATATGTACTTCTGGCAATAAATTTTAAAGCATGTGCAGTCTCTTGAGTGAAACCACGAAAACCGGTGCTAGCAGTATTTGATAAGATAAAACTGATTTTCGCACTTTTGACATTTTCAACTATTTTTCATTTATTTTCGAAAATTAGCGAAAAAAGTGACAACAATTTTTCGTAATTTCCAGAAAATTTTTGTCTGAAACAGTTAAAAGACGATCTGACCCACCGGAAAATATGTAGTTGACTTATAGATAAAATATTTTTTGACGATTTGTCTTCAAATAACTGAGAAATGCGAGGAAAGGACTCCAAAAATCTCCAAAATTTCCAAAAAATTTGAAACCGTTCCAAATGGCTTTATTTCAGAGAAAAACATTGAGTTTCTAGTTTTATAGAATACTAATCGCAAATTTACCTTATAATAATAATAATAATAATAATTTATTGTACTCAACAGAGATTAATCTCCAATTACAGAATACAAAACAAAAGTAAATCGTAGTCTATCTTACAAATAAATAATTAAATACAACGTATGCCTGCAAAATATATCTAAACATCAAGAAAAAAAAAAATAGAACAGTAAGGATAGCTCATTATAAAAAAGAGTAGAACAAAATTCTGACGCTCTGTAATTATGTGTTATGCTGTAAATGTATGGATTTCGATTGAAAAAACTTCCTTACCGCTACACCCTTGGGCCAAAAAGATGCAGCCAGAATATCATTTTGATATACAAAATCGATAGTAAGTTTGAAAGAACTATATAACTCAGGAAATTTAGAGTCCAATTTAATAAGCTTAAAGTCAGGAAGACGTTTATTTTTCAGCACTTCTTCATGGGATTTTAACTTAAATTTGATATAATCAGTAATCTTGTTCACATCAACATTAGGGTTTACTCTTGTAATATGTATATGACTGCTTTTTTTTCTGGTGACAGCTACGAAATCATGATCACTCGATGACAAATCTGACGAACCTGAACTAGAAGCTATATCTGCTGAGCCAATAATTAACTTACTTACTTTCGGCCGACGTTTTAAAGTATCACCTGTTACCTCCTTCTCAGAAGGATTTTTACCATTGTCTGAAGAATTATTTAGATCAACTTCATTACATGAATTCGTATTAGGATAAATAATAGTGTTCCGTATTTCAGGTTCACTTTTGTTTACCACTTTTCTTGCTTCCACACCACTCACGTTTTTATTCATAATCTTACTCGAAAAAGCGTCCATTGATGATAAACTACAATCAGTGGAGCCTCCCAAGTTGTTCGAACTTTTTATCAAAATGTCTATCATCTCACTTTGCGTTTTTACACGATCCCTTAGCTCCTTTATAATTTCGTCTTTTTGTTTAATAATATAATTGAAAACAGCAATATCAACCTTTTTCTCAGGTCCACTCATTTGTTCCATTGCTTCAAAAAACTCAGAATCTTCGCACACAACAGGAGGCATTTTCACTTTATCACAGCAAACTAAAGACTTACTGTCCAAAATTTTTACATAAGATACACCCTTGGCACAACTAAGGTGGTACACATTATCACACGATATACATTTTAATGCACTGACAACTTTTGATTTACACTTTCTGCAGATTTGTGCAGACGTACCGGACTGACTACTACTATTGGCATCCATCTTGGCTATCATTTTCAGCTTATGAAATACTAGCCCCGCCCACCCACTTACCCTCCATTCTCTTAAAGAGTATGTCGTTTGCCAAAAATTGCCTTATTTAAGCAAGTACTAGCCCCACCCAGCCACCCTGTATTTTCTTAGGGATATGTTATTTACTAAAATCAGTTTTTTTGTTAGCAAATACTAGCCCCGCCCACCCGCCCTCTCTTACCTTGTAGGATATGTCATTTGCCACCGTTAGTCTTACCTTAGCAAGTACTAGCCCCGCCCACCCGCCCTCTAGTTTCTTGGAAGGTATGTGATTTGCCAAAATCAGTATTATCTTAGCAAGTACTATATTGTATATTGAAATGGCAAAATAAATGATTAAACACTAATTAAATACTACTTGCTAAGATAATACTGATTTTGGCAAATCACATACCTTCCAAGAAAATAGAGGGTGGGCGGGCGGGGCTAGTATTTGATAAGATAAAACTGATTTTCGCACTTTTGACATTTTCAACTATTTCAGAAAATTAGTTGAAGACATTTTTTGTAATTTCCAAAAATTTTTTGTCTGTAACAGTTAAAAGACGATCTGATCCAGCGGAAAATAGTTGGCTTATAGATAATTTTTCGCAGATTACGAATCTAAAATATTTTTCACGATTTCTCTTCAAATAACTGAGAAATGCGAGAAAAGGAGTCCAAAAATTCCCAACATTTCCAAAAAATTCTAAAACCGTTCCAAATGGCTTTATTTGAGAGGAAAACATTGACTTTCTAGTTTTATAGAATACTAATCGCAAATTTACCTTATGAAATACTAGCCCCGCCCACCCACTCACCCTCCATTTTCTTAAAGAGTATGTCGTTTGCCAAATATTGTCTCATCTTAGCAAGTACTAGCCCCACCCACCCACCCTCTATTTTCTTAGGAATATGTTATTTACTAAAATCAGTTTTTTTGTTAGCAAACACTAGCCCCGCCCACCCGCCCTTTCTTACCTTGTAGGATATGTCATTTGCCACCATTAGTCTTATTTTAGGAAGTACTAGCCCCGCCCACCCGCCCTCTAGTTTCTTGGAAGGTATGTGATTTGCCAAAATCAGTATTATCTTAGCAAGTACTATATTGTAGTTATATTGAAATGGCAAAATAAATGATTAAACAATAATTAAATAGTACTTGCTAAGATAATACTGATTTTGGCAAATCACATACCTTCCAAGAAAATAGAGGGTGGGCGGGCGGGGCTAGTATTTGATAAGATAAAACTGATTTTCGCACTTTTGACATTTTCAACTATTTTTCAACTATTTCAGAAAATTAGTTGAAGACATTTTTTTGTAATTTCCAAAAATTTTTTGTCTGTAACAGTTAAAAGACGATCTGATCCAACGGAACATAGTTGGCTTATAGATAATTTTTCGCAGATTACGAATCTAAAATATTTTTCACGATTTGTCTTCAAATAACTGAATCTAAATGTTACCCTTTTTAAAAAACTTTCTAATACCACCGTTTTTAAACCTAAAAAGACATGTCAACAAATATGTAATCTGCTCCATCCTTCTTTGGACCAAAATCCATTATTTTGTTGCTTGGAACATAAATCAAGAGTTTGTGATATAATTATTCGAGCAACGGTGAAACCAGTTATTGATAATATTTGTTTGGAACAAACAGACTGGTTGAAGAAAATAACGATCTGTAACAAACCTACCAGCAGAAAAGTTTTAAAATTATGAATATGTACCTTCCTTTTTGTTAAATAATTTTCGTTTTGTAAAAATATATCTATCTTATTTCAAAACTAAATAGTAGGAGTAATATCATTAATGTTCTTGTGCCATTATCTACACTTTCAGAAAAACGTGATATTTTAAAACGTCATTTTGACAATTATTTGCCAACCAAGTTCATAATTGTACTCTACAGATGTCGTTGCCTGATTAACGATTTTGGAAACGTCAAAAAATCAACTTTTTATACGAATTGGGGTGGCCATATGTATTAATACAGTTGGCCGTGATACGTTGTGTACGCTAGCGACATCTAGTAGACAACCAAACCCGAAAAAGAAGTTTGCAGCCGAAACTTGCCAAACTTCTCCGCTAGGTGGCAAATTCGACATATCTGTCATTTCGTAGTATCGCCGAGTATAACCTCACAAATACGTTGTGTATTCAAATTTGATTTTCCTTTTTAAGCATTGCAGCATTTGTAAATTAACGATTAAAAACAAGTTCAGTTCATTCCATAACAGTTATTTTTGATTAAATAGAAAAAATTAACAAAAATGGTGAGTTCCATACTTGTATAAAGTAACACTATCTAAACCAGCTTTTTTGTATTTTAGGCACGAAACGCAGAGAAAGCGATGTAAGTAATTAAATATAGGCCGAGGAGACCAGGTAGAGTTGTTGGCTGAATTTTCGTTAATTTTCTAGGACAACCCTGGCCCGCTGGCGCGCCGCCCAGCTCGGCGAGAACGACAAGCACAAGCGTCGGCGGCCGCCCGTGGCTTCCGAGTGCAAGAGCCTCTACGCTTGCGAGAAATGGCGCACCCAGATTATTCGCGAGATCGCGAAAAAGGTGGCCCAGATCCAGAACGCCGGTCTCGGCGAGTTCCGGATCCGCGACCTCAACGACGAAATCAACAAGCTGCTGCGCGAGAAGCGCCACTGGGAGGATCAGATCAAGGAGCTGGGGGGGCCGGACTACCAGAGGACGGGCCCGCGCATGCTGGACCACGAAGGAAAGGAGGTGCCGGGAAACAGAGGCTACAAGTATTTCGGGGCGGCGAAAGAACTGCCAGGTGATTTTCATGTTTTATTCAAATGTTAATTCATCTACACGAAAGAAACTTCAAACAATTAAAAAACGGTCTATGGAATTTCAAGTTGGTTGGTAACGAGAAAACATCACATTTGAATCGTAGCTCTCCTTCGAAAAATGATTGTGTTTAGTATAGTGGAGTATTGTCTTTACGCTGCAGGAGTCCGGGAGTTGTTTGAGCAAGAGCCACCGCCTCCTCCCAGGAAAACGCGGGCGGAGATGATGAAGGATATCGATGCGGACTACTACGGGTATATGGACGACGATGACGGTATACTCATACCTTTGGAGATGGTAGCTGAAAAAGCGTGTAAGTTGTGGCGAGGTGGTCACGAAGCTCGATAAGTAGCGGCGAGCGACACTTATCGAAGTTCGTGAATAAAAAAATAAACAAAACGCGTGTTGTTGCAGCCATACAAAAGGCGATCGTCGATTGGAAGGAAAAAAAAGAACGTCAGCTGACACACGACGAGGATGAGGAAATGCCCGAAGAAGAACACATATATGCCGTAGAAGACGTAAATATAACAATTTTTTTTTTTTTTTTGATAAAATGATGACTGTGTGTTTTAGTCGGACGACGATGACGTCGAAAAGAAAAAATCTGAAGGGGAGCAGAAGTTTATAGCCCACGTACCTGTACCGAGTCAACAAGAAGTGGAACAAGCGTTATTAAGGCGGCGGAAGCAAGAACTGTTGGAGAAATACGGTGTGCAAGAACAGAACCAATCGCTGTAGTAAACACGAATAAATACTTACTTTTTTATGGCATGTTTGGATCCTCCCTCAAAATCCCTCTGCAAATTAAAGTGAACTCTAGAACCGAATCACATAGTTTCCGCTTATTTGCTTTTTCTCTATAAAACAAAATACAAAAAATTAATATGGAGAGACGTAAACGCCAAATTTAATGGTATGTTGAATTCCGCCGGGTGTCTGGAAAATGGCGGATTAACTCCGTAGTACGTTATGTACGCGGGTTTTGTAAGTTTGATTACGAAAAAAACGTAATGTTTCCAAATTTTTTGTAAAACTTTAAAAATTTGTCATCTTGCTAAGATAAAACACATTTTGGCAAATAACAGATCCTGTAAGAAAAGAGAGGGTGGGTGGGCGGGGCTAGTACCTGCTAAGATAAGACTGATTTTGGCAAATGACATACTTCCTAAGAAAAGAGGGTGGGTGGGCGGAGCTAGTACTTGCTAAGATAAGGTTGATTTTGGCAAATGACAGTTAATTTTAGGTCCCCTGGTGTTTTATTTTTAAATTTAAAACAATCTTGAGGTTCTAGGTATTCCTGTTTGGAAAGAATTTGAAAGTGCTTTGGAGCCTCTAGTGTCTTTTTTTGAATAATTTAATTAAATTTCTTAGAGGATACGTCATTTGCTCAAATCAGTCTTTTTTTAGCAGATACTAGCCCCGCCCACCCTCCCTCTCTTTTCTTAGAGGGTATCTCATTAGCCAAAATCAGTCTTATCTTAGCAGATACTAACCCCATCCGCCCGCCCTCTCTTTTCTTCGAAGGTATTTCATTTGCCAAAATCAGTCTTATCTTAGCAGATACTAGCCCCGCCCACCCACCCTCTGTTTTCTTAGAAGGTGTCTCACTAGCCAAAATCACTCTTATCTTAGCAGGTACTAACCCCGCCCACCCGCCCTCTCTTTTCTTCGAAGATATTTCATTTGCCAAAATCAGTCTTATCTTAGCAGGTACTAACCCCGCCCACCCGCCCTCTCTTTTCTTCGAAGATATTTCATTTGCCAAAATCAGTCTTATCTTAACAGGTACTAGGCCCGCCCACCCACCCTCTCGTTTTCTTCGGATCAATATGAAATTAAGAATCGAAGAAACGAAAAATCGCAAAACTCAAAAATCGAGAAATCGAAAAGTCAAAAGTTCAAAAATCTAAAAATTGAAAATTGAATGAAAATGGAAAACCGAAAAGTCGATAAATCGATATTTTGAGAGATCAAAACGTCAAGAAATCCTAAATTCAAAAAACTGAAAAATTTAAATCGAAATATGTATTGAAAAATCGAGAAAACGATAAACCGAAAAGTCGATAAAAAACGATACCTCGAGAAATCAAAAATTCAAAAAATCCTAAAATCTAAAATTCGAAAACCTGAAAAAATCGTAAAATCGAGAATTCGAGGAATCGAAAAGTCGAGAAATCGAACAATTTAAAAATTGAAAAATCGAGAAATTGTGAAATTGAAAATTGAAAAGTGGAAAACCGAGAAGTCGATAAATCGGTATCTCGAGAAATCAAAAAGTCAAGAATATTTAAATTCTAAAATTCAAAATACTACGAAATCGGACAATCGAAAAATCAAAAATTTTAAAATTTAAACAATCGAAAAACCGAGAAATAAAAAATCAAAGAATGAGGAAAAATGTGAAAAATCTAAAATTTATAAATTAATAAAATTGAAAAATTAAAATATCCAACTATTGGAGACTCCAAAAATTGAAAAACCGAAAAATTGATGAATCCCAAAACTGAATCAACGAACAGCTGAGAAATCAGAAAATTGAAAATCTAGAAAACGAAAAATTGAAAAATTGAAAAAAAAATCGAAAAACTGAAAAATCGAAAAATTCAATAATCTCAAAAATAAAATGATCTAAAAATTGAAAAATCGAGGAATCGAAAATTTAAAAAATCCTAAAATCGAAAAGTCGAAAAACTGAAAAAAATCGAGAAATCGGGAACTCCAGGTATGGAAAAACCGGGAAATAAAAAATAGAAGAATCGAGAAATCCAAAAAACTACAAAACTAAAAAATTGAGAATTCGAAAAGTCGAAAATTTCGAAAAATTAACAAATTGAAAATTTGAAATATAGAAAATCCAGAAATCGTAAAATTGATATTTGAAAAACGGAGAAACCGAAAACTCAATGAATGGATGTCTCAAGAAATCAAAAATTCAAAAAATCCTAATCCAAAATTTTTAAAATCCAAGAAATCGAAAAATCGCGAAATAAATGAAAGAAATGAGAAAACTATAAATCGCAAAACTGAAAAATTCACAAAATCTAAAAATTGAAAATTGAAAAATAGAAAACCGAAAAGTCGATAAATCGATATCTGGAGAAATCAAAAATTCAAAAAATCCTGAAATCTAAAATTCGAAAACCTGAAAAAATAGGAAAATGGAGAAGTCGAGGAACCGAAAAATCGAACAATTTAAAAATTGAAAAATCGAGAAATTGTGAAATTGAAAAGTGGAAGACCGAGAAGTCCATAAATTGGTAACTCGAAAGATCATAAAGTCAAGAAAATTTAAATTCGAAAATTCGGAATATGTACTACCAAATCGGGCAATCGAAAAATCAAAAATTTTAAAATTCAAACAATCGAAAAACCGAGAAATAGAAAATCAAAGAATGAGGAAATCCAAAAATTGAACGACTGAAAAACTGAAAAACTTAAATTGAGATATGTATTGAAAAATCTAAAAAAATGAAAGTCGAAAAACTGAAAAAAAATCAAGAAATCGGGAACTCCAGGAATCGAAAAATCAAAAGTAGAGAAATCGAAATATCGAAAATTTTAAAACCCAAAAAATTAAAATAAAAAAACCGAGAAATAAAAAATGGAAGAATCGAGAAATCCAAAAAACTACAAAACTAAAAAATTGAGAATTCGAAAAGTCGAAAATTTCGAAAAATTAACAAATTGAAAGTTCGAAATATGTATAGAAAAATCCAGAAATCATAAAATTGATATTTCTCGATGAACTGATGTCTCGAGAAATCAAAAATTCAAAAATCCAAATCCAAAATTTTTAAAATTCAAGAAATCGAAAAATCGCGAAATAAATGAAAGAAACGATAAAACAAAAAATCGCAAAACTGAAAAATTGAAAAATCGAGAAGTCAAAAATTAAAAAAAAATCTAAAATTGAAAATTGAAAAATGGGAAACCGAAAAGTAGATAAGGCGATATCTCGAGAAATCACAAATTCAAAAAAATCCTAACATCGAAAAGTCGAAAAACTGAGAAAATCGGGAAATCGAAAAATCAGAAAATTCAAAAGTCGAAATCGAACAATTTAAAAATTGAAAATTCGAGAAATCGTAAAACTGAAAATTGAAAAATGGAAATCCAAGAAGTCGATAAATCGGTCTCTCGAGAAATCAAAAAGTCAAGAAAATTTAAATTCGAAAATTCGAAATACTACGAAATCGGACAATGGAAAAATCAAAAATTTTAAAATTCAAACAATCGAAAAACTGAAAAACTTAAGTCGAAATGTGTATTGAAAAATCGAAAAAATGAAAGTCGAAAAATCGAAAATCCAAAAGACTAAAAGTCGAAAAACTGAAAAAAAATCGAGAAATCGGGAACTCCAGGAATCGAAAAATCAAAAAACCGAGAAATAAAAAATGGAAGAATCGAGAAATCCAAAAAACTACAGAACTAAAAAATTGAGAATTCGAAAAGTCGAAAATTTCAAAAAATTAACAAATTGAAAATTCGAAATATAGAAAAATGCAGAAATCGTAACATTGATATTTGAAAACGGAGAAACCGAAAACTCGATGAATCGATGTCTCGAGAACTCAAAAATTCAAAAAATCCTAATCCAAAATTTTTAAAATTCAAGAAACCGAAAAATCGCGAAATAAATGAAAGAAACGAGAATACGAAAAATCGCAAGACTGAAAAATTTAAAAATCGAGTAGTCAAAAATTCAAAATATCTAAAATTGAAAATTGAAAAATGGAAAACCGAGGAATCAAAAAATTGAAACGTCGAAATGGAACAATCTAAAAATTGAAAATTGGAAAATGGAAAACCCAGAAGTCGTTAAATCGAGAAATAAAAAAGTGAAGAAATTCTAATCGAAAATTTGAAAATTCAAAAATCGAAAAATCGCAAAACAGAAAAATTGAGAAATCGAAAAGTCAAAAATTCAAAAAACTGAAAAATCTAGAAATAAAAAATCGAAGAATCGGGAAACTGATACATTCAAAAATCGAAAAACTGAAAAATTTAAATCAAAATTTGTATTGAGAAATCGAAAAACCGAAAAGTCGATAGAAAACGATATCTCGAGAATTCAAAAATTAAAAAAAATCTTAAAATCGAAAATTAGAAAAACTGAAAAAATCGGGAAACCGAGAATCGAGTAATTGAAAAGTCGAGATAAAACTAATTTTGGCAAATGAGATACCCACTAAGAAAAGAGAGGGTGGGTGGGCGGGGTTAGTATCTGTTAAGATAAGACTAATTTTCGCAAATGAGATACCCTGTAAGAAAAGAGAGGGTGGGTGGGCGGGGCTAGTACCTGCTAAGATAAGAGTAATTTTAGCAAATGACGTATCCTTTAAAAAAATTACATAATTAAATTATTAAAAGAAAAGACACTAGAGGCTCCAAAACACTTTCAAATTCTTTCCAAACAGGAATACCTAGAACCTCAAGACTGTTTTAAATTTCCAAAAAAAAAAAAAAACGAGTGCCAAAATTAACTCAAAAATAAAGTCAGGTCAGAAGTTTCCAAATAGAACACCAAAATCCCCAAAATTGTTTTTAATAATTTACATAAAATTCTTCCAAAATAATACACCATGGGTACACAAGAGTCTCCCGAATAAAAAAAAAAAAAAACACTGAGGCACTCAAGACTTTTTCAAATTCTTAAAAAATAAAACACTAAAAACTCAAATTCTCTTCAATTTCATCCAGCAACAAAACACTAGATTTCTTTAAATTTATCCGAAAAAATTAACTGCGAACACTTTAAACGTAGGGTTTTGAAAGCCTTGACAAAAAGAACCAATTTTAAAATCATTATAACTCTACCAAAATGTGAAAAGGATTTTTTTTCCCCAGACTCACCAATTAATCCGCTATTTTTCAGACACTCGGTATAATACCACCACCACCTACCTTAAAACTTGTCTGATAAAGTGCTCTTTTTGTTGCCTGGAAATCCTCGGCGACGGAAAATCTTCCTGCGCCAACAGCGTATTCAACCACCTACTAAGATTATCACAGTATTTCTTATTTAAAGCAAGTAATAGATCACTGAATATATCGACGGACGACCTCGGCGCTGTACTACCTAAGTTCAAAAGTATTCGCAAAACCAAACTCTCGCCATAATTTTGAACAACACTAGCTTGAGCCGTATCGCGACTCTGCGATATGAAATTCACTAAAAAACTGGCGCACAACTTCAGCGTCTGCGCTTCCGGCAGAGACAAACACAAAACGGCTGAAACAACCCAAAGTGACAACAAACCCCAAAAACCCAAAAACAATCTTACCACACTGGAAAAGCGCAGCTGTATCTAACCCACTAGCGAACACTACCTGCGGAATCTTTTTATACAGTTGCGCCATCATCGCGAAAAACCCTTCCAAAACGTCTGTCTTTTCTGCCAACTGGTTGGCACTGTTCAATTGAGCGCACATCTGAAGGGTCGTGGTCACGATTTCGTGCAGCAGTTGGTGCATTATAGCTCTGAATTGATCTTCGTTTCCGAACATTATCACTACCTGGAAGAATATGATCAGTGGTGTGTCGTACAATCGCACGCAAATGTTTTGAGCCTATGGGCGGATCATTTTTGCCGGTCGTCACCGAAGGAGGCGGTCCAAATCGTCCAAGAGCAGAATTTGTAGGTAGGCTCAAACTACAACGAAATTTACGTGTTGACCAAATTTTTACCCTGAATTAGTTTTAGTTTTATAAATACCCTATCTAAAATGTTCAGAATATGATGAGTCTATACTTGTGATTTACCATTCCATTTATATTTTTTCGATTTGTTTATACATACAGGGTGACTCAAAAAAAAAATAATGACTGAGCAAATTTATTTTATTGAAGAAATCAAGAATTGCAAAACTGAATACTTTGAAATCTTGTCAATTAGTTAGAAAAAAAAACCTGTCCTACTCTAATAACATCGAGAATATGCTCAAAATCACACTAATATTAGGTCTAATTGTGCCAACCATAGTTATAAAATTCACATTAAAGTAAGTCACGGACATTTTTTGAAGTGTACTACATTTCAAAAAGCAAAAAAAATGTTCAGTTTATAAACTTCTTAATTTTGGTTTAAAGTTTATCAATCATATTTGACGCTTTATTTTATCCGTTCCATTTGTTATCCTTTACTGCGATCTCTCTTGGGTCGACCGATAGGATAATTTATTACTTCCGACATCTTTTCGGTGACAAATTTAATCTTTGCATACTTCAGCATAGTTAGTGAACTCGTTGTTTCAAAGCCACGATCAAAATGTATTTGCTTATCTTCTCCAAAAAATGCATGACGTCATGGCAAAATTTGATATGATGAGTCCAGTACCTGTGATTTATCATTGCAGTAATAATTTTTAGATTTACTTATACAGCCTGTCTCAAAAAAAGGTCACTTCGATTTTCGATTTTTCGTTTTTTCGACCAACAGTTTCATCGAATTAGATTTTTCAGTTTCCATTTTTCTATCAACTTTTCGATTTTATTACTTTCTAATTTTTTGATTTTTCAAATTTGCGGTATTTTGATTTTTCGAGTTTTCAGTTTGTTCATTTTTCGATTTTTTAATTTTTCGTTTTTTTGATTTTTCGATGTTTCGATTTTTTAATTTGCCATTCTTTCAATTTTCGATTTTTCGTCTTTCCATTTTTAGATTTTTTGATTTTTCTGTTCGTAAGTTTTTAGACTTTGCAATTTTTTTGCATTTTTCGACTATATTTTACTTTCCGATTTTTTTGATTTTTGAATTCTCGATTTTACGTTTTTAATTCTTCGATTTCCGATTTTTCAATTTTCCGGTTTTTTAATTCTTCTATTCTCGATTTTTCGATTTTCCATTAATCATAAAATTTTTCGATTTTTCGGTTGTTTTATTTTTCGACCTTCGATTTTTCAACTTTCGATTATTCGATTTTCAATTTTCTGATTTTACGATTTTTCTGTTTGTTTCAGTTTTTATGGTTCTGCAATTTGCAGCTTTTAGATTTCAATTTTGTTACTTTCCGATTTTCCACTTTTCGATTTTTTGATTTTTCAATTTTTAGGCCTTGCAATTTTTTTACTTTTCGCTTTTTCGAGTATTTGTTTCATCGAATTTTCGATTTTCGATTTTTCCATTTTCCGATTTTCGATTTTTCGATTTTCCATGTTTAGATATTTTTCGATTTTTTTTTTATTTTTCGATTGTTCTGTTCGTCAGTTTTGAGACTTTGCAGTTTTTACTTTTCCACTTTTCTCTTATTTTAGTTTCGGATTATTCGATTTTTGAATTTTGTTTTTTTTTTTAATTTTTCGTTTTCCGATTTTTTAATTTTTCGATTTTTCGGTTTTTTAATTTGTCGATTCTCGATATTCCGATTTTCGATTTTTCGATTTTTCAATTTCCAGTTTTCGATTTTCCACTTTTCGATTTTTCTGTTCGTCAGTTTTTAGACTTTGCAGTTTTTACTTTTCCACTTTTCTCTTATTTTAGTTTCGGATTTTTTGCATTTTTCGATTATATTTTACTTTCCGATTTTTTTGATTTTTGAATTCTCGATTTTACGTTTTTAATTCTTCGATTTCCGATTTTTCAATTTTCCGGTTTTTTAATTATTCTATTCTCGATTTTTCGATTTTCGGTTGTTTTATTTTTCGACCTTCGATTTTTCAACTTTCGATTATTCGATTTTCCATTTTCTGATTTTACGATTTTTCGATTTGCGATTTTTCGATTTTCGTTTTTCCGCTTTTGTGGTTTTTCGATTTTTCTGTTTGTTTCAGTTTTTATGGTTCTGCAATTTGCAGCTTTTAGATTTCAATTTTGTTAATTTCCGATTTTCCACTTTTCGATTTTTTGATTTTTTTTCGATTGTCGTTTTTTCGATTTTTTGATTTTTCAATTTTTAGGCCTTGCAATTTTTTTTACTTTTCGCTTTTTCGAGTATTTGTTTCATCGAATTTTCGATTTTCGATTTTTCCATTTTCCGATTTTCGATTTTTCGATTTTCCATGTTTAGATATTTTCGATTTTTTTTTATTTTTCGATTATTCTGTTCGTCAGTTTTGAGACTTTGCAATTTTTACTTTTCCACTTTTCTCTTATTTTAGTTTCGGATTATTCGATTTTTGAATTTTCGTTTTTTTTTTTAATTTTTCGTTTTCCGATTTTTTAATTTTTCGATTTTTCGGTTTTTTAATTTGTCGATTCTCGATATTCCGATTTTCGATTTTTCGATTTTTCAATTTCCAGTTTTCGATTTTCCACTTTTCGATTTTTCTGTTCGTCAGTTTTTAGACTTTGCAGTTTTTACTTTTCCACTTTTCTCTTATTTTAGTTTCGGATTTTTTGCATTTTTCGATTATATTTTACTTTCCGATTTTTTTGATTTTTGAATTCTCGATTTTACGTTTTTAATTCTTCGATTTCCCATTTTTCAATTTTCCGGTTTTTTAATTATTCTATTCTCGATTTTTCGATTTTCGGTTGGTTTATTTTTCGACCTTCGATTTTTCAACTTTCGATTATTCGATTTTCCATTTTCTGATTTTACGATTTTTCGATTTGCGATTTTTCGATTTTCGTTTTTCCGCTTTTGTGGTTTTTCGATTTTTCTGTTTGTTTCAGTTTTTATGGTTCTGTAATTTGCAGCTTTTAGATTTCAATTTTGTTACTTTCCGATTTTCCACTTTTTTTTCGATCGTCGTTTTTTCGATTTTCATTTTTTCGATTTTTTGATTTTTCAATTTTTAGGCCTTGCAATTTTTTTATTTTTCGCTTTTTCGAGTATTTGTTTCATCGAATTTTCGATTTTCGATTTTTCCATTTTCCGATTTTCGATTTTCCATGTTTAGATATTTTTCGATTTTTTTTTTATTTTTCGATTGTTCTGTTCGTCAGTTTTGAGACTTTGCAGTTTTTACTTTTCCACTTTTCTCTTATTTTAGTTTCGGATTATTCGATTTTTGAATTTTCGTTTTTTTTTAATTTTTCGTTTTCCGATTTTTTAATTTTTCGATTTTTCGGTTTTTTAATTTGCCGATTCTCGATATTCCGATTTTCGATTTTTCGATTTTCCAATTTCCAGTTTTCGATTTTCCACTTTTTGATTTTACGATTTTTCGATTTTTCTGTTCGTCGGTTTTTAGGCTTTGCAATTTGTTTACTTTTCGATTTTTCGATAATTTTTTCCAGTTTTTTGATTTTTGAATTGTCGACTTTTAGAGTTTTCAATATTATGAATTTTCGAATTTTCGGTTTTCCTATTTTTCGATTTTTGATTTTTCCACTTTTCGGTTTTTTGATTTTTCAATTCTCGGTTTTTCAATCTTGCAAATTTTCGATTTTTCAGATTTGTGAATTTCCAGTTTTTCGATCGACCTACGTATGAGATTCATTGAATTTTCGACTTTCGGTTTTTCCATTTTTAGATTTTTGATTTTCCAGTTTTGTATTTTCAGATTTTCTGTTTTTCGCATATCTGATTTATCAAATTTTCGATTTTTCGGCTTTTCGATATTTGATTTTCGAATTTTCGATTGTTCAGTTTTCCATTTTTCAGCTTTTAGACTTCAATTTTTTTACTTTTCGATTTTCCAAATTTTCGAGTTTCAATTTTCAGATTTTTGATTTTTCGATTTTCTTTTTAAATCTTTGAATTTTTCGGTTTTGATTTTTCGAATTTTTGATTTTTAATTTTTCCATTCTTCGGTTTTTAGACTTCAATTTTCTTTCTTTTAAATTTTTTCGATTTTCAGTTTTCAGACTTTCGATGATTAGAATTTTGGATTTTTCAGTTTTATGATTTTTCCATTTTTAGAAAATTTGAGTAGTCGATTTTTCTATGTTCAATTTTTCTATTTAAATTTTGCGATTTTCAATTTGTCCATGGCCGATTTTTAGAATTTTCGGTTTTTCAATTTTTCCATTCTCAACTGTAAGACTTCAATTTTGTTACTTTCCGATTTTTTGGTTTTCGATTTTCCAATTTTCAGAATTTCCAAGTTTCTTTATTCAGATTTTCGATTTTCCACTTTTTCGATTTTAGATTTTTCGAATTTTTGTTTTTCCAATTTTTTGCTTTTTCGATTTTTCTGTTCGTTTCAGTTTTTAGGCTTTGCAATTTTGTTTTACTTTATATATTCTGATTATTTTAATTTCCGATTTTTTTATTTTTATTTTTGATTTTTTTAATTTTCAATATTACAAATTTTTGACTTTTCGATTTTTTGGTTTTCCCGTTTTTCAATTTTCGATTTTTCGATTTTTGAGGTTTGTGAATTTCCACTTTTCGATCGACCTAAGTATTTGATTCATTGAATTTTCGATTTTTTGGTTAGCCATTTTTAGATTTTCGATTTTTACGATTTGTATTTTTCGATTTTCTGTTTTTTGCATTAGTGAATTTCAGTTTTTCCGATTTTCGATTTGTCGCATATTTGATTAATCAAATTTTCGAAAAAGTTACCATGCTTACAAAAACTTCAAAACATCTACAATATTTCAAAGTATTCAGTTTTGCTATTCTTGATTTCTTCAATAAAATAAATTGAATCAGTCATTAACTTTTTTGAGACACCCTGTATAACCAAATCTAAAAAATATTAATGCAGTGATAAATCACAAGTATAAAACTCATCATATTTTATACATTTAAGATAGGATTTATTTTGCAAAATTTTGAGGTGCTCTAGAAATTCCAGGAATTCTAAAAGTGATGACGATTGTGAAGATTCTGAATATTTCGACAACTGAAGATTCCAAAAAGTCTGAAGCTATTAAAGTTTCTGAATATTCTGAAGATTTTAAAGATTCCTAAGATTTAAAAGATTGCTAAAGTTCTACAGATTTCAGACATAAGACTTGAAATTCTAGAAATTCTAAAGAGTCTGAAGATTCTGTAGATTCTAAAAATTCTGTAGATGGTGACGATTCCGAAGATTCCAAAGATTTTGGAGATTTCAAAAATTTTAAAGATCATAAAGAACCCAAAAACTTCAAGATTAGATATTTGAGAAATTTCAAATTTCCGGATATTCCGAGACTCTTGGGATTCTAAAAATCCTAAATATTCTGCAGATTTTGAATATTTGGAAGAGTGCAAAAATTCTGAAGACATTGAAGATTTCGAAGATTATAAAGATTCCAAAGATTCCAAATGTTCCAGAAATTCTAGAAATTTCAAAGATTCCGGATATTCCTACACTCTTGAGATTTCGAAACTTCTATAGATTCTGAGCATTTCCAAGCCTGAAGAATTTAAAAATTTTGAAGTCTGGAGATTTAGAAGGTTCTAAAGATTATAAAGATTTCGAAGACTTCAAAGATTCTAAAGTCTGAATATTTCGAACAATGATGATTCCAAAAATTTTGAACACATTGAAGATTCCGAAGATTATAAATACTTCAAAGATTCTGAATATTTCTAAGCCCTTGAGATTTCAGAAATGCCAAAAATATTCTAAAGGCTTAAAATATAGATTCCAAAGATTCCGGCCGGATAGTCTGAGACTCTAGAAATTCCAGAGATTCTAAAAATGATGGCGATTTTGACGATTCTGAATATTTCAACAATTGAAGATACCAAAGATTGCAAAAGTTTAAATTTCAGACATAAGACTTGAGATTCGAGAAATTCTAAAGATTCTGGAAATTAAGAATAATTGGAAGACTCAAGATACTAAAAATTCTGCAGACAGTGAAGATTCCGAAGATTCCAAAGATTTTAAAGATTATAAACAATCCAAAGATTTCAAAGATTCCAGATATTACCGAAATTTCAAATTTCCGGATATTCTAAGACTTTTGGGATTCCAGAAACACTAAAGATTCTGACGATTCTGAATATTTGCAAGATTGAAAATTCCAAAAATTTTGAAAACATTGAAGATGCCGAAGATTATAAAGATTTCAAAGATTCTGAATATTCTAGACCCTTGAGATTTCGGAAATTCAAAAAATTCTGACTTTGAACATTTCGAAGATTATAAATATTCGAAAGGCTTCAAATATAAATTCCAAAGATTCCGCATAGTCTGAAACGCTAGAAACTCCTGAGATTCTAAAGATTATGAATATTCTCAATGTTTCAAAGATTGAAGATTCCCAAAATTCTGAAGACTTGGAAGATTCCAAATATTCTGAAGACGTAAAAATTCAAAAGCTTCCAGTCATTCCATAATGATTTTAATTTAATTGATAAATCTCAAGGTCACCAGCATTTAATTAAAAATGTATCATGTTTATCATGATTTTAAAACATCTGCAAGATTTCAAAGTATTCGATTTTGCAAATTCAAATTTAAATTGCAAAATATTCTTTTATAATTTTGATTTTTTTTCCAAAAATCTGGACGTTTCGGATAAAAACTCAACACGGAGTCATAAACTACATGTGTAGAACTGTGTTACTGTATACAATTTAAAACCCATTTACTATGCATAAATTTGAAGTGACGTTATCACATTATTGGTGTGGATGATTAGACAAATTTAATAATTTTGCGACATTTATGAAAAAAATATCAGTTATATAATATAACTACTGTCCGTCCCGTTATTGTCAATAAAATTTTATAGGGTAAAATGTGAATTTCGTTGTAGTTTGAGCCTACCTACAAATTCTGCCCTTGAAGGATTTGGACCGCCTTCTTCGGTGAGGGCAGGCAAAAACGATCCGCCCATAGGCTCAAAACATTTGCGTGTACTACTAGTAGTGTGACTCACTGTTTTGGCAACCATCAGTATATTTGATTGCGGACATTCGCGGTATACCGTTACGACTAACTGAAGAATATCGTTAATAAGCGGCGTGCAATCATCCAACAACGTCGTCACCACGTATTTAAAAAGAACACTCAGTTCTTCCATCACGTCATTACTTGTACCATACTTTTCGCCAATCACTTTGTACAAAGGCATCGTGTTCTGCATCACAAGCACCGTCGGTTGTTCTATGATTTGAGTTTGCGGCTTTTTCACACACAGGGAATTAAATAGAGACGACAGGACTTTCAGTCGGGTTATGAGCGAAGTTTTAACAGCGGGTGACTACAAAATCATTTGAAACACACAATCGTACTCGAAAAGTATACATACGGGGTCTACGTTTAGCAGTTCTTGAATTTCTTTAAAAGACGGCGCTAATATAATATTCAAATACTCCATTATGCGTGGAATCGGTAAAATACTTAAAACTTTTCCTATACTGTACATAAGTCGACTACATTCTGCTAGTTTTAACGTGCCTCCTTGAAGCGCCGCCTAAAACACGCCCACGTTTATTTAGCCCCGCCCACCAATAAACTCACAAACCTGCGCAGCAATCAAAATGTGGTCTGCATACGGCAACAAATACTTTTGACAGCTGTGGGTCAAATCCTTCAAGGCCATCGTCGCACTAGTGGCGACTTCCGGCTTATCCAAAGCCGAAATAACCAACGGCAGCACGTTTTCCAGCATTTCTGGATGTTCGGTGATCCAGTCCGAGTACGAACCCACGGTTTCTAGCGCTGACGCCATCACCTTCCTGTGTAACTCCCTGAAGGGTATTTCCTTGATCGTGATCATCAATTTCGGCAAATACAAATTTTCTAGTTCTATGGATTCGGCGATGGCGCCGAAAGCGTGAAGACACGTCTCGACTTCGTTCCACTGGATGTGCGACGACAATCCAGTGGCGTTATTTTTATGTAGCGCTTCCACGAGTTTCGTGTTTAGAATGTCGAGCATTTCCAGGTTTAGAACGTTGTAGCAGTAGATAAATGTGTCGGCGATGTCTTGGCGGTAGCACCTGAAGACTTCTTTGTCGTCGAGGGACCAATCACCGTCTTCGTTAAGAGGGTACATCGATTTTCGCAACATAATACAAACCAAATCGCGGTAGTAGGGTTTGATCATGAGGAGAAGTTGTGCACACTCGGCCGTCTCGAGCGACAAAATGTCGTCTTGTAAGGTATACCAAAAACCGAAAGTGAGAGTGCTGCTGGACTCGTCCACCGGGTACAACCCCGGCAGATTAGTACACTTCAGAATCGAGTTAAAAAGGTCAAAACTAATCCGCTGCTCCTCAGGATCCGCGGATTTTAAATTGTTGATGAATATCTTCGAATGGACGTCAGCTATAGTCACCAAAAGCCCGTACAATATAGCAACGATGTCCTAAAACGGGTTTATGAACAAACCGTGCCAAAACAACAATTCACTTACTTTATTACACTCAGGACTATTTCTTTCACACTCTAAAATTTTTTCGAACTTGTATAGCATGTCCGCGCTACACTTCATCACCAGACCTTGGTACCTGTTGGTGTGCGGGTGCTGGATTATCGCCGTCAACGCCTCCACTGTGACCTCCATGAGCTCCATTTCTTCCGAAGACATGCATTCAGGGTCCATTTTGTTCCTTAAATGGTCACACTAGGTTTGAAGTTTTCCCGAAATAGCGACTTACCAGTAAGCAAAACACGTCAAATTGATTAGTAGGTTCATCACTGAAGTGCAATCGTCGATGTTTAAGCCCCCTAGTTGAATCCACGCTGAAGCACATCTAGCTGCGTTTAAATACGTTGTCAAGTTTGTCATTTCAAAACTGAAAATGTTGCGTGCATTAAGTGCGCAAAATAATGGGGGGTGGTTACCCAGTGGTCGGAAGGGGCGTCAGACACATTTCTACGACTTTGAGGATGTCTTTTGAGACGTCTTGGAGGACCGTTCGTACCCTCATTCTTTGGCTTATGGCTAATAAGGTACTTTGAAACTATAAGAAACGACAGTGAATGTAAAAACGTTCAGACGGGTCCACTGACGAATTTAGGGGGAGGAAACTACTGTTCTTCTCACATTATTTCGACTCTAGTGACTAAATGGAAATTGCATGAATTTCGTTTTATAAATGCGTACTCGTGTTTTAATAATTAAAAGAGTTCCAAATATTTTTTTTTATTGATTTTATAGCACTAAAAACCACGTACCTCTTCAGGTATCACAGTAAGTATCTCTAGAAGTATCCATATCACTCTCTCAGGCTCAACACTTGGCAGATGGTGAGGCTGAAAACTCGACACCAGCTCCTCAAAAGCGTTGGGCCAGTGTGCAGGAACAGTATGAATAATATAAGCAGATAACTGAAACCCAGGTCAAATTATTACGCGCTTGACGTTTCCACGATTCCCTTACTGTAATACAAAGTCGGTTCAAAACGATCTTAGGCCCCATCGCGTAATTAATAATAGCCTCCAAAATCCGCTTTTTCAAGAGTTCATAGTGATCTTCGGGCACTTCATTCCAGTGCTTCATCAACTTAGTGTGTAGAGTGGTAGCCGCAAAGAACTGCACTTCTGAATTCTAGAAGGGTCATCTCAGTAGGGAAACTAGTGCAGGAGAGACTTACCCGATGGGGACTCAACAATTCCCACACAAAACTCCAAGCTTGTGGCGAATTTTGGGCTTCTGTTAACCAATGGTGGGCTTCGGCCTGCTGTCCAGCTTCGGTCCTATAAAATAAAGTTACGGCTTTTTCTAAATTTTCCGTTGTATATTCCATGTTTGTTCCTATTCGAAAACAACTCTTATTTTTAAACGGCAATGAAATCTCGGATTTGTGTTCGCTGTTGCTACATTTTATGAACTGACATCAAGACGTCAATAACTGTCAAACGACTGTCAATGCTGTCAAAAGTCATATGTCGCGTCGATGAAAAATAGCTTGCGTTAAATTTCGGTTTTCTTTCCTGCGAAATAAAATTCTCGTAACGATAAAAAAATTCCGAGCCGCTAATCCCCACAACCGAGTGTTTTTTAATCCGAAAACTTTGGTAATTTTCGTTTTATCACCAAATTCGAGGTTATGGTGTGGCAACAGTTATCGTAAAGAAAAATGGCGGATAAGCATAAAAGTGAGTTTGTTTGACAACATTCTAGTTTTTTCTCTTCGCATTAGCACATTTCAAACGTAGAATCGCCTTCTCGCGCCCTCCCAGCGTCTTTGCTTACCATTTCTTTGTTTTTACCAGGCCTAGAAAACAGTAGTAGCCCGCAAATAACAATGCGAGTAGAGGGACCTCCAGAAGACTCCAAAACAGGTAACATCCCCCAACTCCCCGATGGCCAACCCGCCTCAACCCCCCATCTTCCAGAAAGCAGCGATAACGAGACCAGCGAGTCCGGGAAAGCAGCCGAATCGTTGCGAATGTGCCCCGCGAGCTGCTTCTCTTCGGACCCCCCCACGAACCCCTTCGCTAGTTCCCAAAACAAATTCGCCACGCGCGGCATCCTCAAGCCGCCGCAGCTCAGCCTCAACAACACCAACAACTCGAAGCCCGCGTTCGTCCTGAACCCCAGTCGACTGAACCCCGTCGCCGCGCCGCCAAAAGAAAATTCTAAAGATGTGAAGAGCAACCAAATCAACGGCGAGACACCAAAATTCGTGCCGCTCATCCAGAGCGAGCCCAAGACGAGCGTGGCGGTGACGACGGCGGGCACGACGCTGGCGTCCAACTCGTTCGTGTTCGGCCAGAACCTGCAGGAACGGGTGGTCAACAGCGACAAAGGCGACGAGCCCAAACCGTCGACGAGCGTCAACTCCAACGGCACGACAGAGATGCTTTTCAGCAGCGCCATCAAGAACGAGGTGAAAGTGGACGCGGGGAGCAAGGAGACCAAGTCGCTGAGCGAGTCGGCGAGGGAGTACGAGGAGTCGCGGGCGGTCAAGAGGAAGTACGAGGAGGTGGAGGTCATCACGGGGGAGGAGGACGAGTTGAACATTTTGAATATTAATTGTAAGTTGTTTGCGTTCGATAAGGCGTCGGGCAGTTGGCAGGAGAGGGGACGAGGGGTGCTGAGGCTGAACGACTTCTGCGTAGAAGGACACACGCAAAGTCGGCTGTTGTTTAGGACGACGGGGATCTGGAGAGTCATACTGAACACCAAAGTGAGTATTTCGTTGATTAGCTGTGACGTCATTGAGTCAATTGTGAGAGCTGATAGCTGTGTTGTTAGATGAGATATTAAAGACGTTGTTTGTGGTCAAGAGGAAACTGATAAGATAACCGATTCGGGTTTTTTTTTCATGTAAAATCTGAGCTCGCACTACTTGTAGTTTAAGCGGTTGTTTTTTAATTAAAAGTCAAAAGCACAGTTGTTGGTTTCAAGGTCTCGGCGGCTATAAAATAGAAATTGTTGTTTCCAGATATGGGCGGAAATGACTGTAGAACAGGCTAGTGAAAAAAGCGTGCGATTTACCGCCATGGATCCGCAGGGAGTGATAAAAGTGTTTCTTGTTATGGTAAGATGGATGTGTCTCGGTTTCCTTAATAACGCATACGTTTTAGGCTAGTATCGAAGATAGCAAACAACTATTTTCGTCAATTCAAGTTAGAGTGCAAAAAGAAATTGCAGCCCAAAAACATAAAAAACTTTCAGTGGAAGCAGACTCAGGGGGTAATTAATTTTAGTCGCGAAAATATCTTCTTCATACCACAGGAAAAAGTTCATTTTGATATCTACAAATGTGATGTAAATTAAGTTTTAATTCGTTAAACATTTCTTTTCACCAGGCGTAAGACGAGTTGTAATTAATATTTAAAAAATAGAGCATATTTCATTGAATGTGTTGAATATTTTGTAAAGATAAGCAATAAAAGCAAGGAAAAAAATCAACATAGTCACTTCTTCAAAAAAAACGGTTACGCCATCGCTCAAAATTCGGCTTGAACGGACGCGAGTTTTCCGTCAATGTTGCGCGTTGATTTACCTCATTTTCATTTTTTAAATTATCTTCTAGAGGATTTTATCTCACTAGTTGCCTAATGAAATAACTGTGCATAGATTAGGTGTTTAATTTGGTTAATCTTTTTAGCATAATTTATAATTGTTTGCTAAACGACAATACAAAATCGTTCATTGGTCGCATTGTAAAAAATATTAAAAATGTAAGCAAATTAATAAAATATTTATTACAATTTTAATTACAAGTTAAGTGTGATGGAAACACGAATTTAAAAAATTTACATTTTAGTTCGATGGTTTTTCATTCCCTTGTAGCAGATTAATTCTCTAAAAAAATCTAAGCGAGTTTTCGTTCTGCCATTTTTTCTGGCGTCCTGCATATCCATTGCAAATTTTGTCAATTCTTCAAAACAATCCCACTGCTAAATTTGTATCCCTCAAACGGAAAAAGAGCGCACGTTTCGTACAACACGTTCACAATTTCGTGAGCGCAAGCAATAAAACCCAAAAAAAATCAACAATATAATTACTCTTTTTGAATGATACAAAAATAACCAATTTTGAACAATTACAAAATTTAGTTTCTTCTTTCAAGAAATATCGAACGCTTTATTCAGAGTATCCAAATCCCGATTATCCACGGCCGTTCGCAAATCCGTTCTATTTAGAAGCGAAATGCACATCCTCAGCGTGGACCATATTGTGTCCGACATCTGTGACATGGCTGGTGAATTCTTTACGTCGCGCCCTCTCGCTTGTTGATTCAGGGCTGTGAGGAAGTGTTCTGCTGCCTCTCTACAATAACACATTGATAATAAAATCGCACTGTTCGGAAATTTAACGCAAAACGTCACCTGTAGGCTCTTAAATTAATACAAATAATCCCCACGTTGTACCGCGCTCTTATGAAGCCCGGTTCTAGATTTAAGGCATGGTGATATGCATCTACCGCTTCTTCCGACTTCGAACCGTTGGCCAAAGTCGCTCCTAATCTATTCCATAGTTTGGCATCCTTAAACGAACTTTGTACCACAACATTCAACCCAAATACCAAAACTCACGTCATATTTTACCGACAACGCCGACCGGAAACAATCCGCTGCTTTCTCGTATTCCCCTGATAAATTAAATAGAACACCTAGGCCACACTGTACTTCGTAATCAATGTCCACAGGTTGCCGTAAAGCAGCTTTTATGTACAGATCTTGGATCATTTGTTGCTGATTTCTGTCATTGAACAAAGTTTAAGTCACAACAGTCGAGACTCGCACAGGTGTGTTACGTGTGTTAACAGAAAAGCTAAGCTTCATTAACTCAACTAGGTTAGTTTTTTAGTGCAAATGTGTGTGATTTCGTAATGAAACGTGTGAAAGCCAAAAACTAACGCACGCACTTTCGTGCTTGCGTGGGTAATCGGCTATCGAAACATCGTGACAACCATAGAACAAACGTTAGTAATTGTAACTGATTTTTTTAGTAATTAAGCGACATGCGCACACCATCACTTACGGCTGTAAAAAGCTTGTAACTTGCCCAGTCATTTGAAAATCAGATGGGACCAGATCGCTATATTTAGGATTATTGGCTAACCATTTCAGCAACATATATCCCGCTTTGCTGTAATAGCTCTCGTTTGTGTAACAAACAGCTAAAGCCATGATAGCTGTCAGATTGTTGGGCTCCAACTCGAGGCATTTTTTTAATGCTGGGATGGCGTTATTGTCCTGGAAACATTCGTAAGAATAACGACTGTGATTTCGAACAACGCGAAAAACGAACCTGTTCATTTTCAGCTTGCGTTTTCCCTAGCAATAGCCACGCTTCGCTATTTTCCGGATCTTGTTTGACGGCTGCCTCGAAACACAGGACAGCCGAAGGCAAGTCTCCGTCTTCTAGTAACTTTTTGCCTCGTTGGAGCGGGTCGGGAACGTCGAACATGGGGTTATCTTCAGAAAATGTGTAATCTTTTTTGGGACCTGAGTAATATGATTCAAATTCGGATAACCAAGGACTGTCGCTCGTTTCTCCGCCGTCGAGGGTTTGCTTGAGCTCCTCTTGTAGGTTGTCCCAGAATTTTGAATTGAATTCGTCTTCTAAAAATCCGTTTCATTTTTAAATTGTCTAAATTGTCGAAGCATGCAGCTGAATTAGGTTGGTAACACGTTAGTAACCAAATGACAGCTTGACCACGGCCAACTGTATTAATACATATGGCCATCCCAATTCGTATAAACAGTTGATTCTTTGACGTTTCCAGAATCGTTAATCAGGCAACGACATCTGTTGAGTGCAATTATGAACTTGGTTGGCAAATAATTGTCAAAATGACGTTTTAAAATATCACGTTTTTCTGAAAGTGTAGATAATGGCACAAGAACATTAATGATATTACTCATATTATTTAGTTTTGAAATAAGATAGATATATTTTTACAAAACGAAAATTATTTAACAAAAAGGAAGGTACATATTCATAATTTTAAAACTTTTCTGCTGGTGGGTTAGTTACAGATCGTTATTTTCTTCAACCAGTCTGTTTGTTCCAAACAAATATTATCAATAACTGGTTTCACCGTTGCTCGAATCACACCCACCCACCCTCTATTTTCTTAGGAATATGTTATTTACTAAAATCAGTTTTTTTGTTAGCAAACACTAGCCCCGCCCACCCGCCCTCTCTTACCTTGTAGGATATGTCATTTGCCACCGTGAGTCTTACCTTAGCAAGTCCTAGCCCCGCCCACCCGCCCTCTAGTTTCTTGGAAGGTATGTGATTTGCCAAAATCAGTATTATCTTAGCAAGTACTATATTGTATATTGAAGTGGCAAAATAAATTATTAAACAATAATTAAATACTACTTGCTAAGATAATACTGATTTTGGCAAATCATATACCTTCCAAGAAAATAGAGGGTGGGTGGGCGGGGCTAGTATCTGCTAAGATAAAACTGATTTTCGTACTTTTGACATTTTCAACTATTTTTCAACTATTTCAGAAAATTAGTTGAAGACATTTTTTTGTAATTTCCAAAAATTTTTTATCCGAAACAGTTAAAAGACGATCTGATCCAACGGGAAATAGTTGGCTTATAGATAATTTTTCGCAGATTACGAATCTAAAATATTTTTCACGATTTGTCTTCAAATAACTGAGAAATGCGAGAAAAGGAGTCCAAAAATTCCCAACATTTCCAAAAAATTTTAAACCGTTCCAAATGGCTTTATTTGAGAGGAAAACATTGACTTTCTAGTTTTATAGAATACTAATCGCAAATTTACCTTATGAAATACTAGCCCCGCCCACCCACTCACCCTCCATTCTCTTAAAGAGTATGTCGTTTGCCAAAAATTGCCTTATTTAAGCAAGTACTAGCCCCACCCAGCCACCCTGTACTTTCTTAGGGATGTTTTTTACTGAAATCAGTTTTTTTCTTAGCAAATACTAGCCCCGCCCACCCGCCCTCTCTTACCTTGTAGGATATGTCATTTGCCACCGTTAGTCTTACCTTAGCAAGTCTAGCCCCGCCCACCCGCCCTCTAGTTTCTTGGAAGGTATGTGATTTGCCAAAATCAGTATTATCTTAGCAAGTACTATATTGTATATTGAAATGGCAAAATAAATGATTAAACAATAATTAAATAGTACTTGCTAAGATAATACTGATTTTGGCAAATCACATACCTTCCAAGAAAATAGAGGGTGGGTGGGCGGGGCTAGTATTTGCTAAGATAAAACTGATTTTCGCACTTTTGACATTTTCAACTATTTTTCAACTATTTCAGAAAATTAGTTGAAGACATTTTTTGTAATTTCCAAAAATTTTTTGTCTGTAACAGTTAAAAGACGATCTGACCCACCGGAAAATATGTAGTTGACGAAACCGTTCCAAATGGCTTTATTTCAGAGAAAAACATTGAGTTTCTAGTTTTATAGAATACTAATCGCAAATTTACCTTATGAAATACTAGCCCCGCCCACCCACTCACCCTCCATTCTCTTAAAGAGTATGTCGTTTGCCAAAAATTGCCTTATTTAAGCAAGTACTAGCCCCACCCAGCCACCCTGTATTTTCTTAGGGATGTTTTTTACTGAAATCAGTTTTTTTCTTAGCAAATATTAGCCCCGCCCACCCGCCCTCTCTTACCTTGTAGGATATGTGATTTGCCACCGTTAGTCTTACCTTGGCAAGTACTAGCCCCGCCCACCCGCCCTCTAGTTTCTTGGAAGGTATGTGATTTGCCAAAATCAGTATTATCTTAGCAAGTACTATATTGTATATTGAAATGGCAAAATAAATGATTAAACAATAATTAAATAGTACTTGCTAAGATAATACTGATTTTGGCAAATCACATACCTTCCAAGAAAATAGAGGGTGGGCGGGCGGGGCTAGTATTTGCTAAGATAAAACTGATTTTCGCACTTTTGACATTTTCAACTATTTTTCAACTATTTCAGATAATTAGTTGAAGACATTTTTTTGTAATTTCCAAAAATTTTTTGTCTGTAACAGTTAAAAGACGATCTGATCCAACGGAAAATAGTTGGCTTATAGATAATTTTTCGCAGATTACGAATCTAAAATATTTTTCACGATTTCTCTTCAAATAACTGAGAAATGCGAGAAAAGGAGTCCAAAAATTCACAACATTTCCAAAAAATTCTAAAACCGTTCCAAATGGCTTTATTTGAGAGGAAAATATTGACTTTCTAGTTTTATAGAATACTAATCGCAAATTTACCTTATGAAATACTAGCCCCGCCCACCCACTCACCCTCCATTCTCTTAAAGAGTATGTCGTTTGCCAAAAATTGCCTTATTTAAGCAAGTACTAGCCCCACCCAGCCACCCTGTATTTTCTTAGGGATGTTTTTTACTGAAATCAGTTTTTTTCTTAGCAAATATTAGCCCCGCCCACCCGCCCTCTCTTACCTTGTAGGATATGTCATTTGCCACCGTTAGTCTTACCTTAGCAAGTACTAGCCCCGCCCACCCGCCCTCTAGTTTATTGGAAGGTATGTGATTTGCCAAAATCAGTATTATCTTAGCAAGTACTATATTGTATATTGAAATGGCAAAATAAATGATTAAACAATAATTAAATACTACTTGCTAAGATAATACAGATTTTGGCAAATCACATACCTTCCAAGAAAATAGAGGGTGGGCGGGCGGGGCTAGTATTTGATCCAACGGAAAATAGTTGGCTTATAGATAATTTTTCGCAGATTACGAATCTAAAATATTTTTCACGATTTGTCTTCAAATAACTGAATCTAAATGTTACCCTTTTTAAAAAACTTTCTAAAACCACCGTTTTTAAACTCTAAAAAGACATGTCAACAAATGTGTAATCTGCTCCATCCTTCTTTGGACCAAAATCCATTATTTTGTTGCTTGGAACATAAATCAAGAGTTTGTGATATAATTATTCGAGCAACAGTGAAACCAGTTATTGATAATATTTGTTTGGAACAAACAGACTGGTTGAAGAAAATAACGATCTGTAACAAACCTACCAGCAGAAAAGTTTTAAAATTATGAATATGTACCTTCCTTTTTGTTAAATAATTTTCGTTTTGTAAAAATATATCTATCTTATTTCAAAACGAAATAGTAGGAGTAATATCATTAATGTTCTTGTGCCATTATCTACACTTTCAGAAAAACGTGATATTTTAAAACGTCATTTTGACAGTTATTTGCCAACCAAGTTCATAATTGTACTCAACAAATGTCGTTGCCTGATTAACGATTTTGGAAACGTCAAAGAATCAACTTTTTATACGAATTGGGATGGCCATATGTATTAATACAGTTGGCCGTGGCTTGACTAAATCCAAGCGCACGAAAAAATTTATTAAACTGAAAATATCTTACAAAGTAGAAACGACGCGATTGATACATTTTAGGCACAAACAGATAGGGATTTGTCTTGTCGCTTCAAATTGCTTTGAGCGCGCACCACGTATACCACACTGAAAATACAAAAGTTACTACTACCACGTTTTTGTTTGATCTAGTGATCAAGCACGTCAGCGCCTCTTACGACAAAATCATAAATTTTCACTCCAGAAACGTCAAACGTCAAAGTTCAAAACAAAAAGCGAATTTTCTTATCAATCAAATACTCCTTATCACCACGCTACTAGACTTGCAAAATCAAAACAGTAGTAAATAATCCCATTTTCATTATTCAGCAATAAAACTAATCCCCAAATAAACACAAAAATCAATTCTCACCGTAATCCTTCCCCCATTTTTTACTTATATTCTCGACCTCTGCTTCGTTATTATTTTGAAGAAACTCTTTACTCCAAGATTCGGCCTCTGCTTCAGTCAACCTCCCATCTTCCAAATTAACGTCGCCATCGCCAACTTGTCGCATGAACCTCATAAACTAAAAAAACTTGTACTGAGCGCACACAACAAAACTCTTTAACAAACCTTCGAATAAACAAACTTTGGATCTTCCACATCATCCACTAGTTCTTGGGCGCTCTGCTGCGCCTCGTTCATCCTACTCGGGCCTGGTACCCCATCCTGAAAACACTCACCACCCCACTCGTCCTGGAACGTATTACTCTGCTCCTGCGACGAAATCTCTGCCCAAATCGCCTCGTTGTTTACGTTATCCTTCAAAATAACCTTCAAGTCATGACAAAGCAAAAATCTACTCACAGTTACGTGAAAGACTTTCCCATCTTCTATGTACTGCAAGGCCCAGGCATCGTCGTGAATCTGGTCCTTGATGGTGGAGGCCGGGATGGGGGGCACGGCCGATCGTTGCGACTCGATTTCGTGCATCTCTCGCATCAAATCTACAAGAACTCGGTTAATGGGGGATGGAAAGGTCGGGGGGCGCGTACCGTCCATGCGGAAGCTCTGGGGCATCGTCTTGGTCTCCTGCAGGAACTGCTCAACCAATTGGTCCGAACTGCTGGGGAAGGCATGGCCGTGGGCCTCCGCGAAAGCGTGATCGTGGGTGATGTGCGACGTCAAACGGGCGAGGGGGTTTTTCTGCCCGCACTCGGCTTCTGTCAAGGGGTTGAATGCCATTTTCTGAGAATTTGGGAGGGTTTCTAAACGGAAAACATTTTGTCAAAACAAGTTCCGAAATTGACGTTTGTCACTCGGTCCGCGACCTTGGACTTTAGGCACCAGCGCAGGGGCGCCAACGAGCGCTTTTCCCCCAAGCCTGCGCTCAAATCAATTCAAATCGTCCAATTATCCGAAAATTGCGACGACTAATTATTATACAAGAGCACGAAATTGTGACGACTGGTCATTTTGTGTGTGATTTGTTACATTGTCGGACTCGGCGGGTACCACTTAGTGTGTTTTACGACCCGTAGTGGTACCGTCTAGTGACAAATCTGTCGTCCGCCATTTATAAACTTTTCTTGTTTATTTAATCAATAAAAAGATGTGATTTCCGTTGAAAATTGTTACTGTTTAATAAAACGTTGTTAGTTGTTGAATATGAACGAAGTTATTAAATTGACTGACGAAAACAACAACATTCACAAGTCGTTAATTGACTCGTTCGACAGGTAAGCACGAAGTCACTTGTTGCGCTTATTATCCCAGGCGAAAACGCTCTTTTTGTGATTTTTAACCCATTTTACGCCCTACTTATCTCCCTAAACAACAAAAAATCAATGCATTCTTCGTCCCATGCGGGCTCGCACGTGAAAATAGTGCCCGCATATGCGTGCTCCCATTGATTATTTGATACAGAAAGTAATGATTTAATTGGGTTTCAGCGAACCGGGCTACTATTATCAAGTAATTCGTTCGATGCTTACTCCGGGACACGAAACTGAGCTTATCTACTGGCTGAAGAGCTTCGGTTTGATTCCCAACACTCAGATTTGCAATAACGCGAAAGTTAATGAAGATTGTAATAAAGTGATGGAGTGGATTCCAGTGAAAACCATTGACTATTACCAGTGGAAATGCAAGAACTGCTGCGAGAAGAAGAGCATTAGAGAGAACTCGGTTTTTCAGGATGTGAGGTGTAATTTTAAGAACTCGATTCGGATATTGCTGGGGTGGTGCAAGGGGTATGATGTGGACACCATGGCCAACATTCTAGGTAAAAAAATGACTCAGTTGAAGTATTGTGTTACTAAAAAAACTCCTGTTTATTGCTAACTTAACAGATTATGGATAAGTGAGGTAAAATGCGTGTTCTAACTGAAAATATTTAGATTTTTGTTTTTTGACTTGTCGATTTATTTAGGTGTTAAGAAACAAACCGTGAAGGTGATGTACAGTGTGGTTGCCGCAACGGCGCGAAAACACCTCAAATCCAATCAAACCAATAAGAAAATAGGAGGACCAGGGGTTATAGTCATCATAGATACATACCCAGAAGGGTGTACCAATAGCGCACGACCAATTCAAGCCAACAGACCCATATTATGTATAGCTGAAGTTAAAGTAAGCACGTTTTATTAAAAAAAAATCGGTATTAAAGTATAATTTTAGAATATTCCTCCAACCTACTGGTTTGAAGCTTTAAATCGCCACAACAGAAACAACCAGGACCAAATCCAAGCAATCAAAGATCACGTACTGAAAGTAATCAAAGATGTTGTTCTTCCAGGTTCAATTTTAGTGACGCGACAGGACTCCACCTTTTGTTCCTACTTTGATTTTCAATCTCTAAGACACTTGTACCCAACTGTAGTTAGTGTGGAAGGTCTGGAAAGGCACAACTCCGAGAATCAAAATATTTTTCCGAATTTAGAGGTAATTTGGAAGTTGGCTCTAAACGTGTGCGAGGAAGCGCAGTTTTTTGGTTACGACCAAGTGCCTAATTTTTTGATTAGCCAGATGTGGCATTCACGTTTCGGGAGTGAGGCGTTTGAGATGCTCCTCAATCGCCTCACGGATATGCAATAATTCGTTAGAATGGATATTTTTATGGGAAAATAATTTTTCGCAGCAATAATTGTTTGTTTGGTGCTTGCTGTACACGTGTTGTTTTTATGATATTAACAGTTTTGATATTTGCAGACACTTTTTGCAAAAGCACGATTTTTAGTTGGTTATCAGATCAATTAAGTTTGATGAAATTTTAAATATGTTAAATTGATATTAGCACACAGGTTTATGTTACAAAGGATGCGCCATTTTATGATTAAACAAAGTTTATTAGTATTAGAAAAAATATATACAAGAAATATATTGGAAATAATACATTAATTCTGTGCAAATAAAATGTTGTAAATTGAATTACAAGATTCTTCTTCGTTTGAGTACTCCTCTTTGCCTTTAATTGTAGATAAATAGTTTTCTAGTATTTCTTTTGCGTTGAGTTTGTTCTGCCTGCACTCGTAAATCGCACTTGGGTTGTCTTCAATCAATTTCAAGAGTAATCCCAGAACGTGTTCATCACTACCTCTAGGTTCAACTTTGATTAAAGAAAACAACACCGGAATGTACCCGACAAAAATTAACCTACTCTTAAAATTCGGTTGCGAGCTGCACAAAGCTTGCAACAAGAAGCAAATTTTAATATTAATTTTCTCCTCGTTCCTCTGCAGCGCCTTGAAAAATATTTGCACTCCTTTGTACTGAATCAACTGCGCGCACCCACTGGAATTCTGTCTCACGATACAACTAATTGCATACAGCGCCTTCACGACAACCGCAACCTCACCATCGTTCTCCACAAGATCCACCAACACCGGCATAATCCCATTCTCCAAAACCACCCTCTGGCAATACGGATTATTCTGACACAACTCCGCCAACAAATTACACACTTCAGCCCTCACTTTGGGGCTCTTACACCTCAAACACGGCCCCACGATCACAAAACCCCCGATTTTGTGAAAATCGTTGGCCGTGTCTACGTCGCAAACGTGGTCCGAAATTGTATCCAAAGCCACCCTATACTGACAATCGTCGCCCCCTTCTTCCAAAGCATCCACGTTCTCGAGGATTTTTATCTGTTTCAGGAGAATCTCGATGACGTCGATGGTAAGCGAGTGCAAAGCCTGCTCCAGGAACTTGCGCCGGGCTTCGTCCATGGGCTGGACGTGGGGCTCGTGGGGGGCGTCCTCGGCTTTCGTGGCGTCCATAGCGAATTTCAGGAGGCCCTGCAGACTGGTGGGTTGGCGCGGCTGCGGAACTTCGGCCGCGTCGGCGACTGGGGCTTCGGGGGGCGCGCACAGCATCCCCGCGATTTCGGGCTTATTCTCAGGAGCGGACATCGTACTACACAGAATGGAATGACTAACACTGACGAATTTATATACTGAGTCGCGTTTCGGGAACAATCTCGAACTTTCGATGATTGAGGTTAGGTTTTTGCAATGACAGACAGTGTGGTGCCCTCTTGCGGATAAATTGACAACTACGACATTGCAGATATTGATTATTGATTAAATATAAACATTTGTATATAGATGTATTTAATCAATAATAACTATTTCAGATATGTATCTTATACATACACAATAAAAATTTAAACAATTAGTTAATTTTTTTGTAGAAAATTCAACAAATTCAAGTACTAGTGGCGCCCTCTGCGTCCGCAACTGATGTGACGTTTGCACTGGGACTACTATGTTAAATTAATATTTTAATTTCGTTAATTATACACGGTGGACTTATTAATTGTCAAAAAGATATACAGTAATTTTGATTTTTGGAAAAAAAGTGCAAAAAGATCCAGGTCTAGCTGTATTGATTGGGCTGTCACAAAGTTCCCACTCCCAGACGCGATCCCACTACTGAACGACACGGGGACTTTTGGCTGTTGGGTTTCCCCCCTGACCCGGTTCGCCCCTCCTTAGCCGACCTGGACACCCCGAGCTCCCCCAGGGTACCCATATCGATGCCGATCTTAGTGTGGACATCCAGTCAACGTAAGACGCTTTGCAACAGAACTCCCAACCTCAAACCATCCACTGAACCCGACCTCCAAGAAGCTGGATTACAGGAGTGCGCCACGCTCCCGGTCGAACTTTGTAGCAACATATCGGAAATATAAGCTACACATTGGGTTATACAAATACGAAATATAACTGGTATATTATTTTTAAATAGTACCTCTGTATTATTACTGCAATTTGATGCAGTAATTAATAATAATCATAGTTAATAAGTGCGTTTTCGCAATAGGCAAGTTGACGGATTGATGTATGTTGGGTTGCCTATGCACACAATTGTGCTTTTATGTATTAAAACAAAAATAACATAAATAAATTGATACAAACTGAAGACTGGCTTGTGTTTATGTCTTTCCTTTTCCTTTTATAACATTAAGCAAGAAACGAACCAAAAAAAAGGGTTTATTTCGGAAAGTTCACGAAATACAAAAATAATTAAAACAATATAATAATTTAAAAACGCTCCAGTTTGACGACCTCTCATCCACTAAATAAAGCCCTGACGGAAACAGATTGAGACATGTTTATTTTTTGAACAATATTTCCGGTGCTCTTTTCGGTCGAAATTTTCGAATTTCAAGCTAGCTCGGTCCCAAAATTGTGAATCTGGAAGCAGTAGAAAACTGTGTGAAATTGTCATAATCATATATCTATCAACAAAAAATGTTTCTGTTCATTAAATAATGCTAAAGATATTTACAACTGTCCTCAATAAATAACTTAACACTAAAATATGTTCTATTTAAACGCAAAATACAGTCTAGGCAAAATGCAGACGTAAAAAAACTGTCAGGTGTGGGATTCGAACCCACGCTCTCTTTCGAGAAAAGCAGCTTAATCTGGCGCCTTAGACCACTCAGCCAACTTGATTATACTAAATTGTGTTATTTATAAATCCGTACTTTCCTGTTAACAAACGTTTTAAAGTTATGGGAAAGTTTATCCTCTTTCAAAAATGATGAATATATCTAAAATATGAACAATATTAAAAAAAAATCCAAATATTGTGAAAGTCCTAAATATTCTAATCTATTCAAACGTTTTAAGAGTTTCGAGGACGCCAAAACCTCTAAGGACTGCTATAGAAGCGGACCATTTAAAAATTCTGATTAAAAAATTCCGAAGATTCCACAAAGTCTAGATATTTAAAATTGAAAAGATGCTAAAAATCCTAAAGATCTAAAAATGTTTAAAATTCTAGAGACGCTGAAGTGATTCTTAAGATTCTAGTACAGGTTCTAAAGATTCCAAAGTCTCCAATGATTCGAAAGATTCAGAAAGAATTTAAAGACTCTAAGGACTCAAAAGTTAGATTTTTAAAAATGTGTTTCAAATATTTCAAAAGTTCTAAAGGTTCTAGAGAAATTCCAAAGATCTTTGGATTCTAAAACTTGTAAAAATCGGGAGAATTCTTAAAAGGCCAAAGATTCTAACGATTTTAGTATTTTTACTGACTTGAAAGATTCCATAGGTTTAAAAACTTCCAAAGATTCTAAAGATTCCAGCTTATCATAAGACCTTAAAGATTCCATACACTAGAAATTGCGAATTGTAAAGACACTAAAGATACTAAATAAACTATGGTTCTAAAGTTTTAAATACAAGAAAGATCTGAGAAAATCTTAAAAATTTTAAAAAACCTGGAGGTAATGATTCTAGAAATTGTAAAAATTCTAAACTTTATAAAATTTCTAGTAATTCCAAACTATCTTAAATTTTCAAAGATTGGAAAATCTCTAAAGACTAAAAACTCTAAATACTCTAAAGACTCTAAGATTCTAAAGATTTTAAAGACTCTAAAGGACCTTAAAAATTCTAAAGACTCCAAGAGCTCTAAGGACTCAAATGGTAAAAAGTGTGTAAATGTTTCTTTTCAAATATTTCAAAGATTCTAAAAGGTTTAGCAAATTCTAAAAATCCAAAGATTTTAAACTTGTCAAAATCACGTAAACTCTTAAAATGCCAAAGATTTTAAAGATTCCAAAAACTCTAAAGAAAACAAAAATCATAAAAATCTAAAAATCTTTTTTTAAATTTTATAAATCTTAAAAACGCTAGAGGTCTTGAACACCCTAATTATTGTCTTACAAATCTTAGGGATTGTAGAGATTCTAGAGATTTCAAAAATCTCAGAGATTCTTGAAGTATTTAAATTTTGGAAAATCTTGAAAAATTTAGAAAAAAATGAAAATCTGTAATAGTGAAAAATTGCCAAATTGAAAAACTGATGCAAACCGAAAAATTGAAGGAACGAAAAACTGAAAATTTTGGAAGTCGAGAAATTGTAAAATTGAGAAATCAAAAATAAAAAACGAAAAATCTAAAGAATCGAAAAAGTGAAAAATCAAAAAAAAATATGGATTATGAAATAGAAATATTTAAAATTAAAGAAATTTTAAAAATCGGAAGACTGGAAATCCAAAAACTGCAAAGTGAAAAATTTAAAAATTGATAAGCTACACATTGGGTGATATAAATACGAAATATAACTGGTATATTATTTTTAAATAGTACCTCTGTATTATTACTGCAATTTGATGCAGTAATTAATAATAATCATAGTTAATAAGTGCGTTTTCGCAATAGGCAAGTTGACGGATTGATGTATGTTGGGTTGCCTATGCACACAATTGTGCTTTTATGTATTAAAACAAAAATAACATAAATAAATTGATACAAACTGAAGACTGGCTTGTGTTTATGTTTTTCCTTTTCCTTTTATAACATTAAGCAAGAAACGAACCAAAAAAAAAAGGGTTTATTTCGGAAAGTTCACGAAATACAAAAATAATTAAAACAATATAATAATTTAAAAACGCTCCAGTTTGACGACCTCTCATCCACTAAAAAAACCCCTGACGGAAACAGCGTCGCCATAAACCCCATCTCCGCAATAAAACTCACTCCGGGCACGAGGCTGCACAAACCCGCCAAAACCGAAAACCACCCCCAGCGGTCGGCGGGACGGAGACGGCCTGCCTCCGGGCGTTCGTAAGACAGAGACGCGCATGCAGTACGTGAGTGATCGATAAAAAAATTATCAGCGTACGCTTGCGCTTGTTGATTTCGTTGCCCACAAGTTCAGTTGTAAGCTGATGAGCTGAGAGGGTATTTCCCACCCAAGAGCTTTCCTGCTGGTCGCTGGCGGTAGTTGCTTCATACACACAACAACAAACGAGTGGAGTGGAACAGTTCGTTAGATTCGTTGCAGTACGGTGCACCGCTTTCGTCGCGTTAGTGATTGTGTTTCTTTGTGTCTAGTTTGGGAAAAGCTTGTGTGAGCTTTCGCGGATAATCAGGGGTGAGTTCGTTTAATTTAATTGGAAGGGTCGTTGTTTTGTTACTATTTGAGCGTAAGGCACTTTTTTACGTTGTAGTGAAAAAAGTGCGGTGAGTCCGTGCGATAACGATGTTTGTGCCACTGTGTCAGAGAAATTTTTACTATAGCGCTTCCGCGAAAACGCATTTTTGTTGATATAAGCGGTGACTGATAAAGATGAATGGTAGTTTTATGCGAGGATAAATCGGAGCGACGACTTCACCTTCGCGATTGTTATGTTTTATGTCTTTGTTTTTCCCTCTTTTCGTTTTTTATGTTGATATAAAAATGACGACCTTCCATTTCGTATGATTGTTGCATTATGTAAATATGTGGGACGGGCAGATGCATCCGAATGTGGAGCTTTCGGGGTGGATGAAATTTTTATGGGTCGAGTGGCGCCAGAGACAATCTAGGCTATGACGGGATGAAGATGATTATTTGAATTAATTGGTGTTTGGGGGATTGTGTACGGGTTATGGATTTTAAAATTCATGTATGGAAAAAACTGCAACTACAGTGAATGTTTAATCTTAAACAGCAACATAAAATCGGAGTTTATAGTCGCACGATTCATCCTCAATGCGCTTTTTACGCCACCTTTCCACATTACGATTTTATGAATTTCGTGTCTTGCTCTATCACCTCTGTATACTTTTTCTATGTACTAACAGCTTTGAGAAATTATTTTTATACTTGTTTCGTGCCTCGTGAAAAGACTGATGGTTATCACTAATTAGTGTCTACAACGAACGAATGACTTTAATTTCATTGTCTGTTTCAATTAAATGAGTACTGAAAGTGATCCACACCGGAGAAAACCTCTAGAAACACATTACTGTTCAAAAGAACTATAGAAATATTTTCAAAATCACTAAAGCGAAAAAAAAACTAGTTTGAGTTGGCTGCGATACTACCTTTATTATTGGTATTAAAAATGACATATTTGTCCCACTAAAATTGATGATTTTTTAAATTGATTTTGCTTTAGGGACAAGGAAGGTTCCGTCAAAAGTGGGATTTATAAACTTGCTGTTGACGTTGAAGTTGCTATTCCCACTGACGTTGCTTTTGAGTGTCGTGAATAAAGCCAAAAATTAGGCCCCACCCATTCCCGCTCCGATCTCAATTCTCAATTGTGATGAATTTTTCATTTGTTGTCAGATCGAGGGGCGGGGCTCAATTGCAAATTCGTGTAAAGAAATAAAAATCATGTTTTTGAGTATCGTGTTATTCAAAGAATGAAAGAATACATGTATATTACGACAAAATTAAAGCCAAAGATTACGCCCCACCCATACTTGCCTTGCAGTTTTTATTCGTTGATAGACATAGGGGCGGAGTCTAATTGCAAAATCCATATTTACTTACAAAAGTGGACCATTTTGAACGTGTATATTTTCCCTTTGTTTCTTAATACACATGGTACTCTTTGAACAACACGATACTCAAAAACAGTTTTTAATTTTTTGTAAAGAAATAAGTATTTTGCAGTTAAGCTCCGCCCACTTGCTTAACGGTGAATAAAAAAAATCATCAGAATTGAGACCGGGTGGGTGGGCGGGGCTTCTATTTTTGCTTTTTTTCTTAATATACATAGCCATTTTTTCACAACAAGAAACTTAAAACATGTTTAAAATGGAAAATTCAAAATTGTATAAGGAAATATCGATTTTGTAATTAGGCTCCGCCCCATAATTGCAAAATCCATATTTCCTTGCAAAATGTACCATTTTAACCATGTTTTAAGTTTCTTGTTGTGAAAAGATGGCTATGTATATTAACCACCCACCCGGTCTCAATTCTGATGATTTTTTTTAGTCGTCGAAAGCTGAGGGGCGGAGCTTAATTGTAAAATCCTTATTTTTCTACGAAAAATTACCATGTGAAATATGTTCTCAAGTCATAGTGTTATATAAAAAAAACTAAATGTATTAATTAAAAAAGAAAACCAAAAAAGAAGCCCCACCCATGCGTCTCGATCTCAGTCGTGACGAATTTTTTATTCGTTGTCAAACCGAGGGGCGGAACGCAATTGCAAAATCAATCTTTCCCTATACAAATTTACCGTTTTAGACATGTTTTAAGTTTCTTGTTGTCGAAATAAGTCTACACACATTAAGAAAAAAAGGCAAAATGTAGCCCCGCCCACCCGCCTTATCTCAATTGTGATGATTTTTTCTATTCGCCGTTAACCAAGTGGGCGGAACTTATCTGCAAAATACTTATTTCTTTAAAAGAAATAAAAATCATGTTTTTGAGTATGTGTTATTCGAAGAATGAAAGAATACATGTATATTATGACAAAATTAAAGCCAAAGATTACGCCCCACCCATACTTGCCTCGCAGTTTTTATTCGTTGATAGACGTAGGGGCGGAGCCTAATTGCAAAATCCATATTTCCTTACAAATGTGAACCATTTTGAACGTGGTTTAAGTTTCCAAAAATAAAAAAATCATCACAAATGAGTTGGGGTGGGTGGGTGGGGTTTATATTTTCCCTTTTTTTCTTAATACACATGGTACTCTTTGAACAACACGATACTCAAAAACAGTTTTTAATTATTTGTAAAGAAATAAGTATTTTGCAGTTAAGCTCCGCCCACTTGCTTAACGGTGAATAAAAAAAAATCATCAGAATTGAGACCGGGTGGGTGGGCGGGGCTTCTGTTTTTGCTTTTTTTCTTAATATACATGGCCATTTTTTCACAACAAGAAACTTGAAACATGTTTAAAATGGAAAATTTGTATAAGGAAATATCAATTTTGCAATTAGGCTCCGCCCCATAATTGCAAAATCCATATTTCCTTGCAAAATGTACCATTTTACCATGTTTTAAGTTTCTTGTTGTGAAAAAATGTATATTAAATAAAAAGGCAAAATATGTATAAACCCCGCCCACCCATTCGGTCTCTGATGATTTTTTTTTTATTCGTCGTAAGCCGAGGAGCGGAGCTTAATTGTAAAATTAAAATCCTTATTTTTCTACGATAAATTACCATATGGAATATGTTTAAGTAATCGTGTTAGACAAAGAAAACTAAATGTATTCATTAAAAATGAAAACCAAAAAAGAAGCCCCACCCATCCGTCTCGATTTCAAACGTGATGAATTTTTCATTCGTTGTCAGATCGTGGGGCGGAGCGTAATTGCAAAATCGATATTTCCCTCAAATTTACCATTTTAAACATGATTTAAGTTTCTTGTTCTGAAAAGACGACTAAGTATATTAAAAAAAAAGGCAAAATATAAGCCCCACCCACCCGCCCTATCTCAATTGTGATGATTTTTTTTTATTCGCCGTTAACCAAGTGGGCGGAGCTTAACTGGAAAGTACTTATTTCTTTACACGAAATTAAAAACATGTTTTTGAGTATCGTGTTGTTCAAAGAATACTATGTGTAGTAAGAAAAAAACAAGCCAAAAATCAAGCCCCGCCCATATCCTTCTCAAGGTCAATTGTGATGAGTTAGTAGTTCATTCGTTGTCAGACCGAGAGGCGGAGCCTAATTGGAAAATCCATATTTCCTTACAAAAGTGGACCATTTTGAACGTGGTTTAAGTTTCTAAAAATAAAAAATTCATCTCAAACGAGTTGGGGTGGGCGGGAGGGGTTTATATTTTCCCTTTTTTTCTTAATACACATGGTACTCTTTGAACAACACGATACTCAAAAACACTTTTTAATTGTTTGTAAAGAAATAAGTATTTTGCAGTTAAGGTCTGCCCACTTGCTTAACGGCGAATAAAAAAAATCATCAGAATTGAGACCGGGTGGGTGGGCGGGCTTTGTACATATTTTGCTCTTTTTTCTTAATATACATACTCGTTTTTTCACAACAAGAAACTTAAAACATGTTTAAAATGGAAAATTTGTATAAGGAAATATCGATTTTGGAATTAGGCTCCGCCCCATAATTGCAAAATCTATATTTCCTTGCAAAATGTACCATTTTAACCATGTTTTAAGTTTCTTGTTGTGAAAAAATGTATATTAAAAAAAACAAAATATGTATAAACCCCGCCCACCCACCCGGTCCCAATTCTGATGACTTTTTTTTTATTAGTCGTAAGCTGAGGAGCGGAGCTTAACTGCAAAATACTTATTTCTTTACAACGAATTAAAAACATGTTTTTGAGTATCGTGTTGTTCTAAGAATACTATGTGTATTAGGAAAAAAACAAGGCAAAATCAAGCCCCTCCCATATCCATCTAAGCTCAATTATGATGAGTTGTTCATTCGTTGTCAGACTCAGGGGCGGAGCTTAATTGCAAAATCGATACTTTCGTACAAAAATTTACCATTTTAACGTAACTGCGAAAGTTAAAAGTTGGTCATCTCTAATGGCACCACAACGGCGCGCCAACTTTCAACGGCAGCGTCAACGGCGAACAGCAACGTCAGCGACAAGCTTATAAATCGACCTTAAATGGGCACATATAAACTGCAGCGGAACTAATCCGTTAATCTTCCCCAGCCCATGTTGTAAATTTTTATGGCATGTAAACTGCAGCGAATAATAAAATCAGGTACCACTCCTAAGTAGGGTCACCCCTTTACCTGTAATGACTGCGTATTACTCGAAACTCATTTCTCAAGGAGAAATTTCCAGAAATCCCCAAAATTTGAGAAAATGTCTTCGCCAAGCACAATCAGTAGTTAACTTTGCTGCAATTTACATAGACCCTTCGTGTGACTTTGCGAAGATCCGCTACGTTACGTTCGCTTATCTAAATAACTTCAGGCCAGTTTGTGGTATGTTCGACTTGGTATTTTCAGTCAATCGTAAAAATAAATGTCCAAATACGAACATGACACAACGTGTAAATTGTAAAATATTTAAATTGTTTACACTGTGATAAGTGGCTGTAATCTTAACAAGTGTGCACAAGGAATGTTTGTTTATTTGTTTGTTTGGGACTACAGGAGTCGAATTTGGTAAACCTTGTAGACACGGTGGCTAGCCCAAAATGAACA